AATAGAAAACAAGAGCATCTGAATAAGCATCTTAAAAAAAGCTCTATAGATGTTAGGATGAGCCACATGCCTAGGAAACAAATGCCTAGTGATACTGAAAGTGATGATGACAATTCTGACGTAGATACTGCTCCAAATTCAACTACTGATATTGGTAGTGAAACAGGGTCGGATGAAGACAAAAGCTTGAGAACCCCCTGTGTTCGATCCCAAGGATGAAAATAACCCCAAAATTAAATTTAGACAAATATTTTCTTCTTTCAAGGAGTTGAAAGAAGCACTTAAAACCTGAAACATTTGGAGAGGGAGATCATTTAAATTTGTCAAGAGTAATAGCATAAGAGTTAGAGCAATATGTCCTAAAGATAGGTGTGATTGGTACATATATGCTATGAGGATGAAAGGGGATGTCAGATTGGAAGTTAAAATATTTTAAAAGAAATACAAATGTGAATTTTCATACCACAACAAGAGTGTGAAGTCTAGGTGGATAGGAAAAAGGTATGTTTGCATATTTAGGAAGTACCCAATGCTGGACTATGTTAGTTTCAAAAATATGGTAATGAAGGATCACAAATATCATCTTAGTAGACATCAAGGCTATAGAGTTAAGAAAATTGCAGAGAATTTGGCAAAAGGTAGTGAGATAGATCAATATAATAAACTGTCTCGATATATCAATGAAATTGAGAGAAGTAATCCAAGTAGTATAGTAATTATGAAGTTGGTAGATGACTATTGTGATGCAGTAACTGGACAGAGCAAATTTCAGAGATTATACATGTGCTTTGTTGGGGTAAAACAGCGATTCTTAGCAGCTTGTAGGCCTGTGTTTGGATTGGATGAAACTTTTCTCAAAGGTGCAACAGGAGGTGTACTATTGACAGTAGTTGGAGTTGATGCTAATAATGGAATGTATCCTATAGCTTATGCAGCAACTGAGGGAGAAATCAAAGATTCTTGGATTTGGTTTCTAACATTACTTAAGAAAGATTTGAATATTGAAAGGGACTATGAGTGGACAATAATAAGTGATAAGCAAAAGGGAATAATCAAAGCATGTGAAACAGTTTTTTCGAATGCAACCCACAGATTCTGTGTTAAACATATGCACAGTAACATGTAATCTGCTAGGTTCAAATGGGCGGCAATGAGGAAAGTTCTATGGAAAGCAACTAAGGCAACTACTCCAATTCAATTCAGAAGAAGAATGGAGGCAATTGCTGAACTTGATGCTGAAGCTGCTAAGTGTTTGGATGACAAGAATCCGACATAGTGGAGTAGATCACACTTCAGTACCTACTCAAAGTGTGATATGTTGCTGAATAACATATGTGAATCCTTCAACAGCAAGATCTTAGATGCTAGAGAAGAGTCAATTGTTGCAATGATGAAGTCATTGAGATATTTTATAATGTCAAGAATGCAGGAAAACAGAGACAGAGCTAGAAAAAAATGGAGCAAATATGCAGTCTGCCCAAAAATCAGGAAAAGAATGAGGGAGAACATAGATAAGGTAACTTACTGTGTGCCTTACAAATCCAATGAAGTTAATTATGAAGTTGTTGATCCCTATGGTGAAAAGTATGCAGTTAACATTGAAGAGAAGACATGTTCTTATAGGAAATAGGACTTAACAGGGATACCTTGTTATCATGCAATTTCAGCACTTTGTATTGTAATGAAGGATCCAATGGAGTATGTTGATGACTGTTACAGAGTGCACACTTATCTCAAGTGTTATGAGTCCTGCATACTACCTTTTCATGGAGAATAAGATTGGGCAGATGTGAATGTCTAGCCCCCATTCCCACCAACATACGAAAGAGCACCAGGAAGACCCAAGAAACAAAGGAGAAAATCTACTGATGAGGTGCAGGAAATGAAAGATAAAAGAGTTAAAATAAGATGAGTTGGACAAATCTGTAAATGTAAAAGGGTCATAACACAAGGACATGCAAGCTTAGGCAACAAAAATGTGATGAAGATGTAAGTCTATCATAGATGTCATCTGCTGGATTGCATGAAGCATAATGTGAAACAAACTTGTCACAAATGAATACAAACCATAGCATATCTGTGAGTGATAAAATATTACATATTTGATTAAAGTCCTGTGATTTTCTATTTGCTTAATGAAAATGGTTTTAATCTCATGTTCTAGGTTGAAGGTATTAGCTCCACTGCTAAGAAGACAACCAGAAGAGTAGTGAAAAAAGCTATAAAGTTTTCTTATTTCCAGAATTTGATTTATATTCTTACCAACATAACTACTGGACATATTCATTATTCATATTACTGTTGTGCAGGGAAAAGGCACTAGACGTGTAGCAAAGAAAGTAACTTCATCACAAAATAGCCAACAAGTTACTGAGAACATCAATACTACCTTTTCTGCCCCTGTTGCTGAGCCTAATTTGTATGAGATTTTTGGAATTTCAGATCCATATGTGACACATATCACCTAATCAGTTGCTCCCATTGCTTCTGCACCATTTAGAATTAGGGATGTTCAAATTCATCTCAGCTGCCCTAGGACCAGTGACTGTGGTGGCAAGTATGATATTAAAGGAAGACAAAAGTGAACTAATTATGTATTTCATTCGTTGCTGGGTAGACTTGGTACCTCTTTTGTATTGTTGGAAGTAATGCAGATGTTGTAATGCAGCTTATTTTGTTCTTCTTTTGTTATCTTGTCTAATGAACTCCATGTATATTTTGTAAGGGAGAAATGGAGATCCCTTTGTCATGGTTGTAAGAAGAGAATTGAAATATTATTATTTAAAGACTGCTGGTTTTATGGCAGAATTGTTGCAGTTGAGGGTTTATGATTTTTATGATTTTATGGCATAAATGGAGGTTTTATGGCTTTATTTAAAGATTGATGGTTTTATTGCAGTTGAATTGAGCAAAAAAAGTGATAAGATGATGCAAATGTGTAGTTCAGGTTTCATGTTTGTCGTGCAAGTCAAAATGTGACTCATTGTTGTTACTTCACAGTAAAGGCTGTGGTTGAATTTTTTTAGCTTCTACTAATTTTTGATTGTTGATCTGTACCATTTGAGATGAATATTATTGATGGACTCCTCTCGTATTTAAATGTTAATTGCATTGCTCTTCTTGGATTTTGAATCTACCGATTCTACACTGCTGAAAATTGAACCACAATCGAAAAAGATTGATCAACTCCGATTAAATATATTTTGCTGATCATTTGCTCTAAACAATCTAGTTTTGTTATGCTTCAAAACTATGACGTGCACATCCTATGGAGTACCTTTTTGAGGAGTTCAGGAGCAGGAAATTGAGTTCTGGAAAGACTTCAAAATATGTGCAGAGTCTGAAAAGTATTACAGTTTGTTGATGGGAAATGCATATAAGAATAGGGATAATTTGAAAATACTGCCTTCATTTGGCCTCTAAAGGCCTTAATAATGCCTTCATTGCAGTACAAAATAGCATTGAATACAACATTACTGATATCTTACTAGCAATATAATATATCCCAACCTACACAATCACCCATTGCTGATTACTAGTAGCTTGTCACAATTCGCTAAAACGTAGCTCATCCTAATTTCTGGCGTTTTACACCAGCAAAACAAACAATAGCAACAGTGGCCTTTTACACCAGCAAAACAAACAACAGCAACAATGCCAACAACACTATTGCAGACACTAGTTTTCTTTCCCTTGCTCTTAGTTTTTCGATTGTGGCATCCTTAGTATTCATGCTCCGCAGCAAACTAGGTATCAAAACAGTGGATCTTTGGCATATTATCGGATCATATCACTCGAAATAGTTGCAACTTTTTTCATTTCTTTTGCCCTTCACGGTAAAAAAAATTACTTCAGAAAAAACATAAAATTCAGAAGTTGAAGCAAGAATTTGAGATAGCCCATACCTTCTTCATGCCACAGCTAAAATACTTTCTTCCAGGGTTGTTGTGTGTCCAAGAAGTAATCATCATTACTTGTAACTTACAGTGGCAAAGCTTTTGTGGTATCATGACAACATACAACTAGATAAGAAGACAAGACAAATCTGTCAAAATTATGCCATTAGTGTGAAGGATGAGGAAATCCAAACCACAAAATTTCAATATGTACAAGTCTTTGTCACGTACCGGTAATTGAATTTGGCTACAAGGATTTTTTCTACAGTTGGGGAAGAATAGAGAGAACTACAGAAATAAAGAAAAGGATAAATTGAATTTTGTTTTTGTTAAATAAAAATTCAATTATATAGTAGACTAATATTGATTAATATAATAACTTCATTTGCTAATTGTGTTTTGTCTTTGCTAATTAAAAAGTGGGGCGCCAGAAAGTTGGAAATAATTTTTATGGGTTTTTAGGCATAAAAATTTGAGAAAAGGATTTTAAATGCCGGCACGTGTTCTCACGTGACTTGTTTCCGGCAAAAAATGAAGAAAATCAGTTAATTGTCTACTTTCGAGCAAAATTGGATCGATTGGGGACCACATTTGTTCTCCCCAATAGATTGGGGACAGTTTCGCGCGTCTATAATACATTGGGGACCAAAACTCCAATTCTTCCAATTTTTAAACTTGTTTTATTTGTTTACAATCAACCCATAATATTGGGATCAATATTAATCAGCGACAATTTAATATTTCATCAATGTTATAACATACAGTATTAATCTTTCAGATGGACATCAGTGTAACGCAATTTTTACGCAACACAATTTTCATGCAAATAGATTAATCTTTAAGTTTAAGGGTAAAATACACTAAACCCCCTTGTGGTTTGGGTTATTATCATAAAGCCTCCTTATTATTTGAAAACCCCCAAAGAACCCCCTCCTGGTTTAGACTAATTTGGGTAATGAACGGAAATCGTCCAATTTGACGGGAAGTGAATTACACACGCTTGACAAGCGAGTGTGATAACAATACATCAAGGTTAATGTGATAATTTTATGTTTTTTTTTCTTTTCTTTTTTTTTCTTTGTTCTTCCTTTTTCTTCTTTCTTCTGAACCATTTGGAGTAGCAAAACTGAAGCAAAATTAACACCAACTTTTGTTAATCCGGTGACACTCGGCAAAAGATTCCACCAACGGAATCCAGTATTTGCTTCAACCCTTCACCAACCGAAGCAACCCAACACCTCAACCCTCAAACTCCTCGAAGCCTAAAACCATCTGCTTTTCCCGGTTGTTATAACTTGCACCACCAATTTGTAATTACAAATTTCTACTAGAAGGGAAAAAAAAATTTTCCCCAAACTCCTTCAGAATCATCATCATCTACCACCAAGTACAATTAAACTGGTCGGCCCGATACCTGCCCGGAGGCTGACGTGACCCAGACCCGTAAGCTCAACCGGACCTAGAGAAACCCGAGGACGAGACCACCCAGAAATGCGAAAATTATCATCATCAATATAAGGGTACCAATAGTACCGTGGGTTAGTTGTGAATTTGTGTCAAACGTCCACTTTAGGGCTGGCTGCTTGGTGAAATTGAGGTTATTGTTGTTGCCCCCGGAAGTGGATTAATCGAAATCTTTGACAAGGGATTTCAACCAAGTAAACTTATGAAGAAATTGTGGCGGATAATCCAGCACCAGATTACAAGCACAATAGGGTGGCGAAGATGTCCACATGACGGAGTCATAGGCTGCCGGCTGAAGAAACACCATAGGATAGGTGATAGCATGGACCAGTTTGCCGGGAAAAGCAGCCAGTCGGAGTGTGGGATCACGTTGGATGAGTGAGATTTGAACAGGGATTTTGAAAGAAACAGATTCGGATTTGTAAACAAGAGAAGAGAATCTTTTGGAGACTAAAGGAACACCTGCAGAGGTATTTGGCTTCAAAAACTTTGTCAAGAATGACGGAAACTATTGCATCTGGTAATCGCTTGAATGGATCAACAATTTCTTTTCCTCGATGTTCTTCTGCAGCAGCTGCTCCAAATTTTTGAAATTTTCAAATGAGCCACTTGATGTTTTTTTATTCTCAAATGAAGTGAGAAAGTTTCTAAAATCTTATGTAAATCTTGAACTAACTTTTAGTATAGGTTGAAACAAGGTTAATATAGGAATTTCATATTTTCTGTTAAATTAGACGATTTCCGTTCATTGCCCAAATTAATTCAAACCACGAGGGGGTTCTTTGGGGATTTTCAAATAATGAGGAGGCTTTATGATAATAACCCAAATCACAAGGGAGTTTAGTGTATTTTACCCTAAGTTTAATAATGACGTTAGTATAAATGAGAAGAAAACTAAAAGTTGGCATGTATTAGATTGACAAGCACGGTTTAGCTCAAACAATTTTACGCTTAAACAAGTATAGTACTCACGTTGCTTCCAAAAAAAAAAGCAAAAAAAAAAAAGTTTAGTACTCACGTTACCATAAATCAGAGGAACAGGAAAAGTAGCCATCCACAATACTGAAAATTTACCACTCGAGAACTTGCTCGATTAGGACATGGAGTATGACAACTTGACGACCAGGGAACGGGGGAAACGCCTAGCCCTCCCCAACTAATTTAATTTGTTCATAGAAATTTAGAACAATTCTTATACAATATAACACGCGGTTGAAGGTCCTGGTGGCCCTAGTATATGGTTTCATCCTTACTGGTTTCTGGATTACCAATTAATCTTTACCCGCCACCCATCCAGCAGAAAGGCAAGTCAGCCACCGCGCTGCTTAGTCGTTTGGACGTGCCTTCTTACTCCTCCTCCACCCCCCCTCTCTCTCTCCATTGGCTGTGTGTGTTAGACGGCGTAAGTGGAATTCGAGCCCTTCCTTCCAGTCTTTTCGATCGGCATCAAGATACTGTTTCTTGGACTCTAATTATTCGAGGTTAGATTGTTCTGGGACAATAAAAGATAAGTATATAAAAGAGTGGGGCAGTATATATCATGACAACGACGGATAAATACAATGTCGAAGCAGCTGAGCTTCTTGCTAACGAGGCATTGGTATTTTGCACAGCTCCTTCTTGGATTAATTGTTACTTCTTTTTTAATCGTTCATGGTTTTGCCTTGAATCCCCCTTTGAGACGCATTCTTGCTGCAGCATTTGCCAATTTCGGAGGCTGTGCCGGTATATGAGCAACTTTTGGCTACTTTTCCTACTGCAGTAAGACTTCATTCTCACTCTTTTGCCAGAATAGTCGCCTTCATCTTAGCATCTTTGGTATTACTGTTGTATGTGTCCTATTAATTAAGCCATCTGGGATTCAAAACTGGTAGCTATTGGAACTGGGGATATCGATTTGAAGATCGTTTTCAGGGTATATAAATATAGTCAAATACTTCTTCTATTATCCGTTTGGCGTGTATGCTTAACGAATTAATGGTTTCATTTTTTGTAGTATAAGCTATTAGGAAAATTGCAGTACATAGAATTTTTATTACATATATGCTATGCTCTCCTGTGTTAGACTTGCTGAACGACAGTCTCAAATTTTGAAATGGCACTGGAAGTTGCCCTTAGTGCCAAATGGGAAAGAGAATAACAAGTAGCAATGTGTGTTTGCCTCGCTTAAGATGCCTGAGATGCATGAATACTAGTATCTTGCAGTAGGTTTTGCATTTCATTTAATTGATGTTAACTAGTTTTTTTTTTCCCACACAATCTTGAACTGGTATCAATCTGTTATATTTAGTTTGGAACATTTAACTGATGTTAATTGTACATATGTGTCAATTCTGGTGCTATTTCTTCTGTCCAGGCAAAATACTGGAAGCAGTATGTTGAGGCTCACATGGCTGTAAATAATGATGATGCCGTAAAACATATTTTCAGTCGCTGCCTGTTGAACTGCCTACACATTCCTCTTTGGTACGCCATATTACATGCTGTTTTACTCTTATCTTGTAAAGTCATAATTTAAAATCCATTTTACATGCCCAAACCTCACTACCCTTTACCCTTCCCCCATCCAAAGAGGAAAAGAATAATGGGAACACATCTTCAAGAAATTTGCATGTATGATGGGCCATCTTAGCTTGTCTACTTCATTTCTTCTTATAATTTTTTGATAAGATCTCTTCAGGCTTCTTTTCAAGTTTCACTCCATCATTTGCGCTTTCTGCACATAAACTTTGTATTGTATTGGCAACTATTTGGCATTGCAGGCGCTGCTACATCCGCTTTATTAGGAAGGTTAATGACAAGAAGGGGATAGAAGGTCAGGAAGAGACTAGGAAAGCATTTGATTTCATGCTTAACTATGTCGGTATGTCTCCCTTACCATTTTCTGAAGAAAATCGCTCTGTTTAGCTTCATGCCTGGTAGAGTTTATTACAATGTGAACAATTCGTTATCTCTTTAATGTTATAATTCGGTAGATTCATTATTGTCAACAAGATATATTACTTGGCCATATGACTATTGGAATTTTGAAAATCAATTGTCTATAATGAACAATTGTTGAACTGCAAAGAACGATGATTGGAAGCCTAAGTTTAAAAGATGTAAGGATTGAATATTGATGTCTAAGAAATTATTTGAAATATGGTGAACACCACTGAAAGATAAAAAGGACATGTAGGTAAAAAGTGCATAATTCTGATGTAAAGTTACATCATAGCCGCATAAGTTGTAACTAGTTCAAGAGCAAGATAAGAAGAATGTGAGAAATTGCAGGAGGCAAACAGAGACTTTTCCTGCTGCTGGAATTGATGATCTCTTCTGTTTTGTTTGCATGAGAAGGTTCAAGATCTCCAGTGAAAATATGTACGAGTGAATGCCTGTACTCGTGTTTAATTAAAAATCTCAAAATTTCTTAATCATAGCATGTGGTAACAGGGGCAGACATCGCATCTGGTCCTGTGTGGATGGAGTACACTGCATTCTTAAAGTCCTTGCCGGTTGGAGATTGCTTCCCTCTACCTTTGCATAATTCGTGTTCATTCCTTTCACTTTTGTTCTTTCTGCCTTTGATTTCTCTCTCTTATAAGATGATGCTGCAGACTCAAAATTTGGCAGAAGAAACACAAAGGATGACTTCTGTAAGAAAAGCATATCAAAAAGCCATTATTACACCTACCCATCACATTGAGCAACTCTGGAGGGAGTATGAAAATTTTGAAAACTCAGTTAGCCGTGCCCTGGTAATCACTGCTTATTTTTATTATTCCAGTGTGATATGAAAGTGGTGAAGTTATGAGCTATTGAGATAGTTAAACACTAGAATAACCAAGAAAAGTTTGCGGCATCCAAGTGTAGGTTTTCAAGAAATAGTTTGCTTATATTTTCATTTCTTAGTCATAGCTTGCATCTCTGGAAGGAATCCATGACAAACTTTCTTAGTCATGGATTGCATCTCTGGAAGGAATCCATGGCAAACTTTATAAATTGTTCAATCGGGATGTGATTAATCAAACGGTTGGGTGTCAAGGAGACTAATATGCTGCATGCATACATAGTTGTTGGTCAAGTATGAGGTTGAGGACTTATTCATTGTAAAGAAAACTCTTGCACTGACTTTTATTCTGCTATTTCCATGATAATTTTAGAGTGATTATGTCCAAAAACTGATAAGTGATGATCTCTTGATATATTATAATGCAGGCAAAAGGATTGTTGTCTGAATATCAGCCAAAATATAACAGTGCAAGGGCTGTTTACAGGGAGAGGAAAAAGTTTGCCGATGAAATTGATTGGAATATGCTTGCTGTGCCACCATCTGGTACTTCCAAGGTAATCTCCTCTGTCTTATTTTAGTCCTTGGTGAGTCCATTTTCCATGTGACAAAAATGCTGGAATCAGCTTTCATGGCTTAGTGGTATGTATAGTTTATAAAGTTGTTAGATTTTGGGGAAAAGTGATTTCTATTAAGTACCTTCAGTGTCTCATTCCTACAAATTAAGTAATTATAAAGCTAAAACAATATGAAATGTACTTCTCAAAATTTCATGCATCAGCATTGGTTTTCCTCGTAGTATTTGACTAAGACATAAAAGAAAGGTGAGGGATTGGTTTCGATCTGTATGAACAGCTGACAAAAGTTTTGAACAATTGCACTACCAAATGATATGTTGTAATTTAGCATCTTTTCTGTTGCAGGAAGAAATGCAGTGGATAGCATGGAAAAGGTTCTTAGCCTTTGAAAAGTAAGCACCCAGGGTATTCTACATTTGACATGGTACCTTATTTTAAATGGTACATGCGTGTCTTTTGAATTGATCTGTAGAGTAATTAATCTAGTTGTGTATATTCAAACATTTGGAAACTTCAAGCTCCACAGTTGGGCTAATTTATCGTTATGTAGTTTATGATTGATATTTTCATTAAGATCTAGCTTGTGTAATATTCTGTTCTTATATTTCAGAGGAAATCCCCAGAGGATAGATAGCGCTTCTGCTAATAAACGTATTGCATTCACATACGAACAGGTAGTGGAAAAAAAAATTAACTGTTCTTAGTTCCCCTAATTTGCATGCTGTTGCTTAATGCTCAGGAGCGTTCTAAGCTTGTATGATTATGTGGACTTCTTGGTCCTTCAGAGAAAGCCCACTTGGTGTAAAGATGTCTTGAAGCAAGACTTTAGGCGTAACATGTTATCATAGATTACCTTCAGTATCCCTGAAAAAGAAAATAAAAAATAATAAAAGAGTTGGATAGAAAGGTATTTGATTTGATCTAAAACTTTTTGTTAGTGTGAACTATTATCTAAGTAAGATCTGTCATGCCACTGCTCCTGAACAAGCTAATCCTAGTTTTCTGTAATTTCTGCTTGTGTATGGGTTTGTGGTAGCTGTTAGCCTGCTTGCTGCATTTGCACGTCTGAGAAATGCAAAAATGGTTTCTTCTTTGGGGAAATGCTGCACTGTAGAACTTTCTAGGCATTGGTTATGATGGTCTCAGATCAACATCCTGAGTTTTCATTTCTGTTGGAGTTGTATGTCTTGATTGGTATCTTGTGGTGAAACATAACTGCACTGTATGTATGTTTCTTTAAGCTTGTTTTTTGTTTGTACCTGTACGGCAGAAAGATTGCTAATTAATCAATTTCTTTGCTAGTGCCTCATGTATTTATACCACTATCCTGACATATGGTATGATTATGCCATGTGGCATGCAAAAAGTGGCTCTGTAGACTCTGCAATCAAAATTTTCCAGCGAGCTTTGAAGGCTTTACCTGGTATTACTTGTCATTCTGTTAATCTTCAGTTGCCATAAATTTATTCTTGTTCTGCTACTTGCGCTTAATCTACTGGAACTTGTTCTCTGCATATCTTTTATGTGTTTAAAATGTATAATTCATAGGTCCTGACTAGATTTTTCCGGTACTGGGTTGTTTGATTTTCCCTTTCTCTTTTGTGCACTGTTTCTAGTAATTTGTGTATTTGGGTCTTCACTTTCACGTGCAGATTCAGAAATGCTAAAATATGCGTATGCAGAGCTGGAAGAATCCCGTGGCTCGATTCAGGTTTGCCCAATGTTTCACCTGCTTTCTTTTCCATTTGTATAGGCTCCTCTTGTTTTTTAATGCAATTTAGTTTGATGTAGGCGTCAAAGAAAGTATATGAAAGTCTTCTTGGTGATGATGGCAATGCTACTGCTCTTTCACATATACAGGTTCTTGCCTTCAATGCCATCTGTCTGCTAGATAATTTGCAACCATATATTGTGATTATGAATGTCACAAAATTTTTGGGTTTTTTCTGCCACTGACTGTTTTTGGGTTTCTGCTCTTAACTTTCTTTTGAGTAATTATAGCGTAGATAAGGAAAGAAGTTTGTTTTTCTTCTCCTGTGCTTACAGCATGTGTCTCATTTGTTTTTTGATTTCATTGTGGAAAGCCATTTTATGTTCAATTTTGTGCATGCATCTTAATCTTCAGCTCAGTTACGTGGTAGGTCTCTTATTTTAACATATTAATATATCAAATGTTGTACACTGCAGTTTATCCGCTTTCTAAGAAGAACAGAAGGGGTAGAAGCAGCACGTAAATACTTTATGGATGCACGGAAATCTCCTAACTGCACTTACCATGTTTATGTAGCTTATGCGATGATGGCATTTTGTCTTGACAAGGATGCAAAGGTGATTGATAATATTGTATAGGTGGTTTGGGTTTTGTATGCTTTTCTTTGTATTTCAACTATATTATACCTTGATGAAGAGTTCTCTTCGAGGATCTCATTGCAAGTGGAAAATATTGATCAGATTTTCTTACCAGAAACATATAATATCATATTTGTCTTTCTAATATGATTAGTATAATTAGGCTCCTAGTGAAGTATCCTTTCTGAACCATTTTTGGTTCCTTACTGTCAGATGAAACCTAAAAGCAGAAAGGAGAAGGAAAATAAATTCCTCTCCTGCTTTTTTCATCTCCTTTCTGTGAATACGTTGTTGAGAACCAGAAGCTTTCTATTATCTTTAGGAAGAATTACTCATGAGCATTGATTTCTATTACATGTTTTAGGATAATAAGGATTCTCATTTTGTCCAGTTGTAACACATTAAGTTTTTAAACACTTGGTGAGACTTCCATCTCCCCAGACATTCTCCTATCTTTGAGGTAGTTTGACATTCATATTCAAATAATTCTTGGCATCTATGTTATGACAGGTTTTTAGGTCTTGGAATTTCAAGAGACTAGTTTGTCCCCTAAGGCTGTTGATTTGTATTCCCCCCAAAGAAGAAGAAGAAGAAGAAGGGGTAGAAATTGAGTTTGGAATCAAACATCAAGGCATTTTTTAATCAGACTAGTCCAAAATATTAAAAAGAAAAACCAGGAAAACTGCTTATATTTGAAAGGGTAAAGTGGAATAGAGAAGTCTCAACTAAATGATTAGGACTTCTTTCAAATATTTATGAAATTTAGAAGTAGCTGATTGTAGAAAAGATTTCATAAATATTCCATACAAACTCAAGACAAGATCCTCTAAAATTCATTTATTTTTTGAACTTATCTATATGGTTTGGAAAAGAAACACAAACGTAGATTATGCAATACAAAGGTGAAGACACTGCACAAATTTTGTTCAAGGAAAATTTGATGTTATCTGATATGATTGATCACTATTGCAGTTTGCGCACAATGTTTTTGAAGCGGGGCTGAAACGATTCATGCATGAGCCATCATATATCCTTGAGTAAGTATGTTTAGTTCGAAGGGGATGCATTAAATATTGTTCAAAGGATTAATAGTAAGGAACCCGATTTGTCTTTGATAGGCAACTTAATTCATGGCATCAGGTCCATGCTGTATTCCTTTGACTTTGTTAAGGTTAGTCTTGTGAGGAGGACCAATAATGTCCCAGCCCATATTATGTCTAAGTTAGCGTTATCCTTTGAGGGAAGTAGAGTCTGGTTTGTAGACTTTCCCAAGCCAGCTACTGATGCTGCTATTGCTGATTTGCTATAAATGGGTTTTCCCTTATCAAAAAAAAAAAAAAGTATGTTTAGTTCAAACTTTAGAGTTGTATAGGAGATTATGATCAACTGTTGGTGGTTATGATATTTTGACAAGCATCCAAAAGTCAAGTCACAGACTCATAATATTATCGCCAAAATGTGAATATTATTGATCAATCATATTGCACCATTTTACCTTCTTAAAGGGAATTGAAAAGTCATTATGTTAGTATTTTGATTGGATGAGGAAAGAAAAATAAGCCAGAACAAGGAAGCAGAATCATCAAACCTGTTCAGTAGGTGTCTGTGATTATTGCTGTGTGAAGCAGAAATCTTATTTTCGTAGGCACGAAAAATTCCAATTACAGTCTCCTGATGTGATCTTGCAGATATGCAGATTTTCTATCCCGCTTGAATGATGATAGAAATATTCGGGCATTATTTGAGAGAGCATTAAGCTCACTCCCACCTGAGGAATCAGTTGAGGTAGTTATACTTGGACCATGTGCTTCTTTTACAACATACTATTGTTTTTAGCAAAGATTTATAAAATTATTTTTCATTTATCAATCTCTTATAAATGACACAGTAATTTGATCTGTGATGCATGGCATTTCACCATAATGACTCATTTGGTAGCCATCCATTTGGAAATTTGCTGATTAATTTTACAGTTTGCTTTCTCTAGCGGAAGCCTTCTTTTTCAAGTTACATGGGCTTGCATTGGTTTTATAGTTTCTTCTTTTGTTGTTGGTTCAGTCCAACCCCATGCTGTTCAATGATAAAATTTCTATACATCTTCCATTCTTAGGTTTTCATCACTCAGTTTTGTGAGTTTCAAATGTCTAAAAATTTGTTTAAGTTGTCCCTGAGTTGATTATTCCAAGCACTAAAAAGATGCAGTTACTACATGCTTGAACCATTCTAGGAATAACATTCTAATTACAACTTGGGTTCTGTTATTTGAATAGTCATTGATGACATTGGACTACTGCATCTTTATTTTGCTACCTTTCCTGAGCTTACTTCCTGGCTGTCCTTCTGTGTTGCCCTAGAAAAGTTTTTACAAGTCTGCCTTAGTACTAGGCATTGAATGATAGTCATGAATGTAGTGAAATACTGAATATCATAGTTTGCTTTCATTGCCAAATGAAGCAACTGGTTTTTGCAACTTCAGTGTGCACGTAGTGTGTTATTTTTACCAGAAAATTGAAGCTTTACCATTTGGTTCTTCACTCTATTTTTTTTTTTTTTTTTGGTATTTTGCATAAATGATAGGCTTTTCTTGAAGTGCCGTAGCAGAAATTCACTCTTCTTTTGCAGATCTGGAAAAGATTTACTCAATTTGAACAAACATATGGAGATCTTTCTAGTATTTTGAAGGTAGCTCTCATTCTTTTCACCTGGACTTTATTTTATTTGTCTGAATGAATATACATGTATCCATTTGAGGTCCCTGAATCAGGTTGAGCAACGAAGGAAAGAGGCACTGTCAAGGGCTGGTGATGAGGGAGAATCTGCTTTGAATAGTTCATTGCAAGATGTTATATCACGCTATAGTTTCATGGACCTGTGGCCTTGCTCTTCCAAGGATATGGATCATTTGACTAGGCAAGAGGTAGATTGTGTACCAAGTTTTCTCTGTGTATATATTTTATGGTCTGCCTCTGGAACTGAAGATGATTTAGATCTATGTCTACTGAATATTTAAGGTATTTTTGCTATGATTTAACTTAGATTGTAATATTGCATTTGTTTTTAGTGGCTTTCAAAAAACATCACTAAGAAGATTGAGAAACCAACTCCTGCCAATGGTGTCAGTTCTGTAGGTAATTCTATCATATTGACATGCAAACTACTATCTAATCTGACTACCCTATTTTGATTTAATAACCTCTTTTCTTCGGTTACAGATAAGCGTTCTTCAGCAGTTTCTACCACTTCAAATTCTGTAAAAGTTGTTTACCCAGATACTTCAAAGATGGTGGTTTATGATCCAAGGCAAAAGATTGGTATATATTCTGCTGCTTATTTTCCTGTGTGTTCCATTTTGGTGAATTAGAAAGGTAGAAGGTGTGGATGTTTAGACTTAAGGAAAGACGTAGAAGGGGTAAATGCTAACACTTTGGGCCTAATTGTAATTTTCCTTGCAACAGCATTGGGGCTGATTAAGTGACATGAGAACAAAAAGTTATGTTAGGTATTCAAGTTTTGTGGATGTATATGAAGTATGGATTTCATTCACTCTTTCAAGGATAATTCCAGAAACTTTTCTTTGAAAATACACAATTAGGAACTCGGAGATTTCCTGGTTATTTGGTTAACTGAAAAAGTAAATAAGAATACGGCCAACTCTAAAATAAAAAATCGGAGATTTAATTCACTCTTTCAAATTTTTGTGAATGACCTTTTTGCGACTTCTAAAATTTGCCCACTTTCTTATTTTTGGGTGGGACTCTTTCCTTCAAGTTCAAGTTGGGAACATTTGGTATTTTTGATATTATTTTCTTTTCTATAAGTTTAAAGTTTGATACTGAAGGAACCATGGAGCTTGTTATTTGAGTTCATTTGACACAAAAGCATGAAAATACTCTTACTTTTGGGTGTCCAACTCATACAAGTCAAGTCTGGAGGTGGTTATGGTCTATTATGCATCATATTGCACTTAGGTATATTCTCTGAATTGTTAACTAAATACATTGAATGATAAAAGATTGGTACAACTATCATCCTCTGCTGATTTGGTCCAATTAAGGTATTATTGAAGTGGTTGAAGCTGTCTGCTTTAAAAATCATGAATTAGGAATTTAGTTTTTCTAGTTATCTTTGCAGTATCTCAAATTTTAGTCACTGGTTTCTTAACTTGATGCTGGACCTTTTTCAGGTCTCACGGGTCCTTTACAGCCTGGAGTTGCAGTCGCTTTACCTCCTAATGATACAATGGGTGCTGCTGGAGCACCTAATGTACTGAAAGATATTTTGAAAACCTTACCACCTGCATTGGCAACTTTTGTAGCAAACCTGCCAGCTGTTGAAGGTAATCCTTCAATTTTCTACTATTTCCTTTTATTTGTTTCCTGATTTCTTCTGACATGATTGGTGTTGGATGTCCTGTTACTTTTAGGTAGTTGCCCAGTTATTTGTACTGCTGATATTAATTCAGGACAATATCACTAGTCATCCCCTGCATATTGTTGGTAGTCCTAGCTTCTTTTTTTGGTGTTTGTTGCCTATTCTCTCCTGCTACCATAATTATGATTGACACCTTAAATGTCCAAAAGGCAAAAATCTTGCAAGCGTTTGGTCTTCTTTACACCATGGGTATATTTGATGCATACATTGCAGGTAGCAGGGTATTGCAATTATATTTTGATGCTACCGTATAACTTAGAATTGGAGCATTTTGTATTTCTTATTGTTTTTCTGACGTTCCATGTTGCCATTTGATTTGGTACTGCTTCCCCATTCATTTTATTTAAAAGTAATGTTGTTGTCAATTTTCTCTTTTGTGCCATACACGTTGAAAAAATTATGCACGTAATGTTGGTGCAATAATGAAACCTGGGCTTTAATTATCAGCAAGTAAATGAGGATACCAGGCAATAGTGGTGCAACAATAAGTTTGCGCTGTCTCAAAACTTTTTGGGGGGTTAGATTTACAAGATGTTTTTGCTTTTCCAATTTTGGAGTGCCTGAAACCTTAGGCCCTGGGAAGCTTATCTGGGAACTTTCCTTGATTATGTGCTGTTGTATCTCATGATTTGTCAAACGTATTTACGTCTTTCACAACAAAATGTAAAAGGATCTTTGACATCTCCTGCAACCTGATGCTCATTTCTAGTGATTTTTAGTAGCTTAAGCTTACTAGTAAAGGTTGCAACTTAAGATCCACCGGACTCTTCATGATGAGTTGACTATATTCTATAAAAGCTAATATTAGTTTGTGTGCTGAATGGTAGGTCCATCTCCTGACGTTGATTTTGTTCTAGCGATATGTTTGCAAAGCAACATACCACTAATGCCCGTAAGAACAGCAAACTCTACAAAACTGCAAACTGGTCCTGCTCCAAGCACAAGTGACCTATCTGGTTCATCAAAATTCAAGCCAACAAGAGATAGACATGCTGGAAAGAGAAAGGATGTAGACAGTATGTTGACAATCTTCTATTTCACCTGTAGTTTCTTTTTGTGCTGCATTATAGGTCTAAGTAGTCTTCTGTGCATGTCTGCTGTTATTGCCTGGTGAAGTCTCATTCATGAATTGCTATAAGGTCAGGTCCATAAAAACTGAGAACTATGCGTCTGTTTCTCACTTGTACCTTTTTCAACTTGCTTAACTCGTAGTTAAGTGAAATAGATATGGAATGGATGATGCATCTGTTTTCGATGGATTCACTTTGCTAGTGATCATGATGAACCAACTTTTATCCAGCTTTTGAGTGATTTGCCGCATTGAACACTACAACTGACAACCCAATGTTCTTAATATTTACTGTAGAACAAGATGATGAGGACAGTACAACAGTTCAAAGCCAACCTCTTCCAAGAGATGCTTTTAAATTACGGCAATTACGAAAGGCTCGTGGTGCCAGTTCACAAACTGGATCGGCATCTTATGGGAGTGCATTTTCTGGGGAGATGTCTGGAAGCACCGGTTGATTTGCTTTTATCTGTTCTTTAGTATTTTCCTTTTTTTTTTCCCCATTTCTTCTGTAAATAACCCCGTAGCCTTTGTAACATTTATCTTTCACCATTCTTGTGACATTTACACAGCCTTAAAGTAATTAACCTTGTGATTCTGATTTGGTTTTCGTACTTTGATCAATCAATTACGTTCAAAGGTTGTCGTCTCGAACATTCTATTGCCTCAGAATATGTCAATCAGTGTAGCGAGGTGGGACGTATTTGTCTTCCTCTGGTGCGACCCGTACGGGCGTCTGCTGCCTGCCTTCCTAAATTCTCCTTGGTCTGGCTATTGCACGAACCATGCGCATGAATTATGAGAGATCACACTGAGTGGAAATGCAGGTTACGCAGGGAGAAGCTCCCGGCTGAAACGAAGGGAATTTAATGCAGACTCATTATTGATTCTTAAAGGTCTGTCGCAGCTCAGTTTCGGAAACCAAAACCACTGCAACCCAAAATCATGTTTAGTAACAAGAGTAAGCCAAGTTGTAAACAGAAGTTTTACTAACTAATCTTGACATTGCCCCAAAATTTTTTTTCCCAGTTCAGCGCACTAGATGTGGTATAAATTGACAACCGTCCCAAATTGAAGCCTAAAATTCTAGGGGTTGTGGTGCTGGGTTTTGGCTGTTGAAGAGGACCAGCTTCCTTACAGGGGCTTAAGCGCCAAACACCCATTGAACAGCTAAACTGTGAAAGCCTGACCATTTGTCATATCAGCCAAAATGCTTCAAATCACAAAAATGTCCAGAGTCCATTGTAGCTTCACCCAAACAAATTTGACCAAAAGCATGTGGTAAGTTCAAAAATTTGAGCCAAAACCAGAAACGTCTTATTGTTCTTGAGTTGATAAGCTGAAGTTCCTTCCTCTGAATGCTCAACATAATTTGCAAAAGGAAGCAAAACTGCAGCAGAAGATTATTTCACTGTAAGCAATAATTATATAATTGCACATCATTCCAGGAAAACCACAAGTACAACATCAAGAAAACAATAACAAAGACATAAAAGTTCCAAAAGGAAAATAAGACAGCATATTTGCTCTGCAATGTTAAACAAATTCTTGTGAGGATTAATGTCTACACCTGTCAAATGTCCTTTCAACATATCAGACGGTGTCTTCTGTACTAGCCGTGGATGCACCCACTGTAGTTTCTGATGACTTCTTTGGTCTTCTATACCATAAAAATGCAAACCACAGAGTCCTCAACAATGCACCATTTGCAAAATGTGGAATTAGAAGACGTCCCCAGTATGGATAGTAAGGCCCTGGCCACTTGATCAGTGTGAAAAATATAGCAACCGCAATGAGATGCCAGGGGACTTCTGCATTCTGAAAATCCCTCCAAAAACATTGTCATAAATCTAGTTAGAATTCATTTTCATTTGTATTACAAAAAAACATATCAATCAAGTTAGAGCAAATTTGCCTACACTAAATTACTTATTTGATAAAAAAAGAGAGGAAATTGTATACTAAGAGACATCTTTCGGCATCTTCTGTTGTCCAATAATAAATAGGTCATTCAATGATGATCCAGTCATTCACTATTGTAACAGAAATCCATTCCGTTCAGGTCTGCATACAATAGTGGTTCCATTAACTCTTTTTCCAAGTGGAAGGGAATTCATTTCCTATTGAGACAAAGAGGACATCCAAATGGTCCAAAAAGCGCACTGTTCCTCATGCACCAAGAGCCCCAGCCACCATACTATTTTGCACATTTTCATCGGCAAAGCATCAAGTATTGGACTTGTTCACGGCAAAAAAACAGGTAAGAAAACATGATTATCTCAAGATATCCCAGGTTCACTTTTCCAGAATAGCCAACTAGCAGAATCCTAATTCCAAAACATGCTTGTCCCGTTACGGACTATTTGAAAATGTCGTATCCAAAAGAATTACCTTAAGAGATGGAGATGACTCCAGTGCTGCTGTTCTCAAGATCCCAGCAACAGCAGCGCCAACAAGAAATGGAAGTGGGACGAAATATAGTTTCCTCTCATGTGCACAGTAGGACATTTCGCTAAGGCAAGAAACAGCAAATACGGGTAGAGACAAGTATTTGATAACCACCAAGGCAGTGTCAAGAATGAGTTGAATGAAATTGTCAAATGCTCTATTCCAAGGGAAACTCTTGACAGGCTGAGGAGAACCATCCCAGAGTTGTTTAGCCTTGTGAACAATGTGGTCAAATTTCAGCTTCCCAGATTCATCTGACCGTCCTGCAGTCATATTCATTGCACACAATATATGGGGCTGGGTAAATTTACACATCCCTTTTGGTTTGACACTTACAATGTAGTTTTCCATCTGAATGCATGGTAAAAATCCCTGCTACAGAAAGAAGAAACTTCTTGATATGAAACATGTAGTGTATCACAGCTAAAATCCAGATTTGTATGTCAAATAGACTTCACTAGAGGTATAGGAATAAGGCAGTTCCGTAGCAGTTTCTTTTATTCAAACAATTACATTACTAATGATTGAATAAGCGCGGAGAAAATTTATGCAAAAACAGAAGTGTACAAAAGTCGGGGGGTTTGCCATCCAGGGAGGTGGCATTTCAATGCAATCTCTTGTCATTCCTTTGGACAAGGCAGTAAGCAAAGGAAGTGTACAAAATCGAGAACAAAAGCCTTTTTATTTCATTTATTTTTGACCCCATAAAAAAGCAAACGAAGGCCAAAAAGTTGAACAAAATCCCATCTGACCAACTAGAACTGGAACACAGCTATCACAAATCACAGACAATCCATTGAGACAATTCCACCAAACTACCCAACAATTGTATTTTGTGCAGCAATCAGTTGGCATAACAATCATCATATATTTCTCTTCGAATTCCTATATTTCAATTTAATAAACAAGAGAAGAACGAGAGAACGAAAAATAAAAAGAACATATTAATGCCACCTATCTCAAATGTAACCCATATTACTAAAAAGAGTGTTGCTCATTTTCCTTGCCCTTGTCAGAAGACGAGTTTGGAAATATATGGTTCCAAAATTTCCCATCTATATCCTGCATTGGATAGAAAAACAAATGCAGAGAAAAAAAAAAAGAAAATCCCAAAGAAAGCAATACAAGTAATTCTCCATTTGGAACAGGAAGAGGAAAGACTACCCTGGTAGGGCCGCCTCACCTTGGATGAAGAAGCACGGGCTGTAGGAAAATTGAGTTTCAGTGCCATCTTCCTTCAGCACCCAACTACTTTACAATTACACCAAAACACTCGCACACAACTAATCGGTAATAATTCTTGGAGAAGCGCTTTACGATGTCAGAGAAAACGCCCCCATGAATAAGGCGTTAAGAGGAGCAGGAGGAGGAGGATGAGGATAAGGAGTCGTGATTCACACAGGCAGACCTGGGAACGTTTTCCTGTATAAGCGCGAAGACGAGATGACAGAAAGGAAAAATCCTCTCCCATAGATTTAGATAGTTGGGCTAAAGTCGGGGTGCAACTTTGACGTTTTCGTCCTCCTGCAGCTGAGTTAATCCACCAGGGGGCTCACTTGGAATCTTCGGTGATATGTTTTCTATGCCAATCCAATGTCATCAATAGTGTTGCGTCAAGTGTCATGTTATTATTTAAATTTGTGTTAAACCAAACCAAGTTGAATTATTAGAAAATTAAAGCGTAAATAATAACAAGACACTTGGCGCAATACTATTGGTGGCATTGGGTTGGCATAAAAAACATGTCATCGAGAATCCCAAGTTAGGGGAGCCTGGCCCAAACATTTTCTTTCGAACGTGAAAAGGGTAATACTACTACGTCAATGGCAAATTATTTTCTAAGTAGCTTATTGCAGATCAATATAAATTGAAGATGGTCCAACTTGAGAGAAGGATGGGTTGGATTGAGTGGTATAAAAATAAAGAATATCCTTATATTATATACGATTGAGTTTTGGTTAAAAAATAGGTTGAATTTCAACCGCATAGGTGGGGGCTTTCTGGGAATGTGAAATATTGTGTATTAGTTTAAAATCTTTAGGTACAAGTTAAGGAAACATGTATTTGGGTATGTTTACTGAAATGACCCTATTTTAATACATTTAAAGTTGTTATTGATGAGCCATCTCGGTATTGATGGAATGTTTAATTAGTGTGCAACCACTTTTGCATTTTGTACAACCCATATATGCTTGTGTGTTGGTGTAATTACCGGAATATCCCTTAACTACCAATAATTTCCCTTTTCAGCCGCAAATAACTGTTTGAGATGTTGCTTTGTCTGAAGCGTTTGAATGGCAATTGGATTTAGGAAATGAGCCAACGATTTCTCTATCAATAGTAGGAATCCATTTATCTATCATTTATAATCTGTATTTATGAGTCACAAACGTTGGTTAGTTTATCCCCTTTCAGTTTCAGGAGTTAAGTTTTCCCTTTTTGCCTTTGTCTACAACGATTTGTCTCATCGTTTCTGAGATCAACTCTGAAATTACCTATTATTTCGTCATTAGTTACACCCAATTCAATTGCTCAACCGTTGGTATATTAATTAGGGGTGGCAATCGGGTCCGTTTCGGGTTGGCAGGTCGGGTTGAGACTCGGGTATAACAGAAAACCCGCTGACCTAAACCTGACTCGCCAACCCGAAATGGGTTAGAATACCTGACACGAATTCGAAAATTTCGAATTGGCGGGTCAACCCGAAATGACTCGAAACTTAATTTTTATTTATTAATTTATCACTGTAATTTCTAATAAAATTTATTTTGTACAAGACTAATTACATAATCAAGTAATAAAAATTTAAATAAATAATCCCAAATCAAATCTAAAATAAATTAAAACACTATAAAAGTGTTTTATCCCAAACCAAATATAAAATAAATTAAAACTGTATAAAAATAAAAAATAATATAATACATTATTTGTCCAAATATAATAATTTCAACTTCACAAAGTTAAATAAATTCATTTACGACTAAGTGATTAATGCTTTGGAAAAAAAGAATAACTTAGTTTAGTTAGATAAAATAATTTTTATGTTTATTAAATTTTTTTTAATTCATAAAACTAGTTATCGGGTCATATCAGGTCACTCACGAGTTGACCCAAATTCGACTCATTTTCTTTTCGGGTCCATCAGGTTCGACCCGATTCTGACCCGAACCTGCGAAATCTCAACCCAAATCCATTAATTTCGCGTTAGATTTGTATCATGTTTTCAGGTCGTGTCGGAAATTGTCACCTAATGTTAATGCCTAAACTGTTGATTATCAGTTTCTCCCTGTTCGCATTTTAGAATTGAAATCATTCTACCCGGCTTCATGCTAATCAGCTCAGAATGCTCTTCAGTCCCAGCTACTCCTGGTGGTTCAGCGTGAGGTTAGATTTCACCCCCCCAATTTTTCAGTTCCTCCCTTAATTTTGTCGGTGTGTTCTTAGTACCTACAATTAGCGACTCTTATCGCGTTGCCTAAACCCAATTGGTCTGAGTTGGTTATAATTTTATAGGTTTGCAGCAATAGCAAGTAAGAGCTCTCGGTGGAGATTCTGGAATAAGGTTAGCTTTTTGTGTTGCTCTGCCTTTCTGCATTATCAACGACCTTCAATTTGATACAGTTTTATAGTAACGCTGTGTGAATTGATTGATTATATCGTTTATCTTTTCATACTAAGTTTTATTTCTTCTCACAATGTACTATTGTTTGTTCGATAAAAAAACCAAACACCCGCGCGATGCGCGGGCACTCCCCCCTAGTGTAAGTGAGAAGTTTTAGTTTCGAAACCTCTCGTTTACGGTTGAAAAAAAAAAAGGAAGGAAGTTTATTAACACAAAAAATTCATATTTACAGGAAAAAGAATGTTGAGACCCCTACTAAGACCAAAAAAAAAAAAATTATGTTACAAGAGAGTGTGGAGCCAGCACATTTTTTTTTTTTTGGGGGTACAGGTGAAGGGCCTAAGGGCCATTAAGTAGAATACTTCTACCCCAGATGCATCTGGCCCAAGAACCCCTCTTGCGGCCCTTGGGGGTCCCGACTAAGAAGAGTCATTCCTGGGTTGATTAGAGCAGGTTTTCCCTTCTGTGAGTTCTCTCTCGATCTATTAGCATTAGTCTCTCCTTTTTTTTCTTCTTTCAATTTTCTTTTTTATGATTGTAGTGTATTACTAGTTATTTGCTGCTAACCCTGAACAAAATTACTATTTATGTACGCGTACACATGTGCTTTGCATGGGATAGCGTAGCGCTAACAGAGTACCAAGTCAAATATCACAAAGCAAAATGAACCTTCATTTCACTCAAACTATCTGAAATTATTATATACATACATATATATATATATATATATATATTACAGAGTAGCCATATATTGCAATCTTGCAAACAAGCCCAAACAATAGAGAAGTCTTGGATGGACCGTATGTAGGGTATGTACAACAATACCAACACTAGCTTTTATTCGTACTCACACAACACCTGCAATGTCTACTACGAAAGCCACGGATGACTTTTTGAGCTCAACATCTAGTAATCAGGTGCAGGGGTGTACCAAGCAGGGCATGTTCCCTTTGTCCTGAGCAATCTGGTGAAGGGTGAATCAGGCATTCTGGCTCTCTCTTCTTCTTCAAGTTCTTCCCTTGACTTTGGCAATCCATCAGGGACTGGACGAGCCCATGTCCCTGTTTGCTCAGAATTTGAGTTCTTCTCAGATTTGTGGAGCCCCTTTTTGGCTTTGTGAATCTCTGCAATTCCGTGTAAGCAGCCAATCAGAGATTTCGCTCCACCGGCTTCAATTATCAGCCTCTCTATCTCTTCCTTTGATGCCTCTTTCTGCACAGACTCCAAGAAATCAGCAGGGGAGAACCCAACACAAATTATGGCTTCTACTTCCGTTGCACAGTGTTAATTATTAAGCAATCACTACAACATTCTGATTTAAGCTGTTAGTTGCACTGCACTACAATAGGATGGTCCGTCCTTATGGATTTCTTTCAGTTTGAAATACATCATCAACAGATGAAAGAATCAAAACAGTTACAACTCCTCTATTTTACAAGCAATACAAATAAATTAGGACTATCGAGCAAAACCAAAGCTGTGAACCTTTTCATTTTTCTTCAGTTTCATGCTTCAAATTAAATACATAACTTACTTCAAGATCTTTGAGCTCAAAATATGCTTTCCAGCAGCTGTAGGAAGCGTCTCCTTCTAGAGTTGAACAGTACTCTACACACACAAAAAAACACAAACAAAGAAATTAGGAAACAATTAAATTCCATGACTAATAGTAATTATCTGTGGCTAAAATAATTTGGCTTAATTGGAGGACATCCGCTTGTATCAATTATACAGCATTTACAAGTTCATAGTTCCACAAAATGCAATACTAGTGGTTTGGATAGACCAGAGGAGAACTCAAACCAAACCATAATACTCACGGCAGTCGAGCAACAAATCTACAAACGTAAAAATACAAACTTTGTTTGATCAAATGAATAAGCTGAATTTAAAAAAAAAAAAAACCAGGACAGAAGAAATTGCGCTAACTTTTCATCAAAAAGTCAAGTAACCCCTATCAAAAAAGTGAATCAACTTGGGATTCATCCAGACTAGCAATCTTTGCTTGATGAATCCAAGGAAAAAGTATTTAGTGATAAAACTTGAAAAACTACATGCTTTTCATGAAAAACTCAATTACCGCATATGCAAATGCCAACCAAAAACATGGGCTTGCAACAAATTACAACCCTTAATTGCAATCCCATGCAACAAAGAGGCTTTCAAAGAAAAAACTAGAACCGAAGAATCATACCCGCAAGCTGGTTTTCGGATTTTTCAATCAAAGGAGGGTCTTTTAAGCCACGTTCAAACTTGGTTCTACTGAACGGTTCGAGCTTTGGTATATAAGAATTGTTTCTGGAAGATGAAGAGCAACAAACTGTCGAATTTAAACCAGACCTTGATCTTGAAGAATGATTAGATTCAAGAAGAAGCGAAGAAGAAGATAATGAAGATGTGAGAGGGAGCGATTGCAGTGGCATTGCTGCTACTGTGATTTTAGATAAGACTCAAAGGGCCATTAAACAAGGGAAACACTTTTTCAATTGATTATTTTATAGGCTTTCAAGGTCCAATAATGCTAAGGACCACGGTGGAAGAAGAAAGCAATGGATAAGGATGAGATATTTATTTTTAGCGTCACAGATATTTTCCAATCTTGGGCTGTGACAGAGGAATACTAACCGTTGATCATTCGTATGAGTAAATGATTATTTTATAGATTGGCCTTTGTGGGGACCAACAAGGGCTTTAAAAAGTACTAACGGGATGGGATGGGACGGGACGGGACGGGACGCGGCGGCCTTCGGGAGAGTTTGTGTAAAGCAATGGGCGCTGACCTTTTCTTACTTAGACAGGCCAGAGATCGGCTAGTGGTGCAGTTGGATCGGCTAGACAGGCCCATCGTTTCTTTTCTAGTCATCGAATTTCTTGGATGCTTGTTTCTTTCTTGCAGCCCCCCAAAAGACAAAATTCCTCATCTTCGGGGAAACTAGAGAACTTTCTCTAAAATACGTTCTTACTTTTAGCGAATCTGTTGGAGAGATATTCGGTTCATGCGTGTAATCGGAACTCGCGTAAAGAAACAACTCTTACAAGAAATCTGAATTCTTTGTCCTATAAGTAGATATATGAACCTGGAACATTTTCTTCACCCAAAATCTACAACAACAAACAAATTTGTTATCTTTTCGACAAACAAAATCAACAAAAGTCATTGCGCAACTGATATCTTTTCGGTGCATAATATTTATGACGAGAGAAACAGATTATTGAAGAAAACAAAGTAGGTACAAACAACAATTTCATTGGGTTCTCATATGTACTAAGCTATATATATATATATGAGAGTATTTATGTGCACAAACAAACTGAATAGTGTTGATAGCCCTATGTACAACATGAAGAAATGCTAGCACGCAGCTAACAGTAATGTTCCATCCAAACCAGCAATTGGAATTATCGGTCAAAAGCAGAAAGCAGTGTCGGTTGTTGGCGGGGGTCTGTTCGTGAGCTGAACGGAGTGGAGGTTTCTGGCATGAGCTCAGACAATCTGATCCTTTCTTTGTTCATTCTATTCTGAAAAGGAGAAACTAATGACATCTTAGATTTTGGATGCCATTATATGGCCATATAACAGATGTTAACATTGAAATCCCTCTTTAATTAGTTTAAAAATGTAACATGATTTCAATCTACCTTCAATTTCACGTCTTCTAATTCTGTTTCTAGGGCATTGACCCTATTCTTGAGCTGATCAAGCGCTTCTTCAGCCACCGCCAGATTTACTTCAGACTTTGGCCTTGTTATCCCAGCAGCCTGCACATTTGGTTCAAATAAGATACGCTACAGGGGTTCATGAGCACTTATCAACTTTTAAGCAAGGTTCTCCTGTGAAAAGGAACGTCAAAGTATAACGGAATGAGGTTCTTGAGTCTCTCCTAATTCTGACCTTTAGTATGCTGGTACATAGGCTGACTAACTCCTGTGCCAATTGGAATCTCTCTGTCTCAGTTTCCTATGAAGAAATGATCAACTTCATCACAATTGTACCATCACAATATCATGCCTCTCAAAATACACTGATGCAAAAGTCATATTCCTTGAGGCTAAATATGGCTCTCATGTAGGACTAACCATCAACTTGTCGTTTAACCGTTGCTCCTCATCAAAGTTGATGCAGGGACTTCTCCCATCAGCTATGCGAAACTGAGCCAGCTCTTGCTTCACCCTTGAAAGCAAAGCCTCTGATTTTCTCAACTTCACACTAAGTTCATCGTTCTGCCTCTTCAATATATTGTTTTCTTCCTGTTACAGTTAACAAGAAATTGCAGATTCTCAATTGATTGCACAGATGATAGGGCATTGTTTTCTTAAGAAGATCAATTGATATGTTGTAAAGATCAATCTGAGAATAAAAATAATTCCATCTGGTTCTGTAGAAAGGAAAAACAAAAAAGCTTGCCTTGATTTTAGCATGATGATGGATTCGCTGTTGGAGATTTTGCTGGCCGGACAACTTCTTTACTTCTGCATCTAGTTCTGTAGTCCTCTTCTTATAATTCAGGTTCTCCATCTGAGCAGATAGAAGGCATAGACGCCAAAACATGTTTAGCAATTATAGTTTTCTATGTACCAGTCAGTTGTTGAGTACAAGAGTAACAAGACTACAACCTTCAACATTTCATTTTCAGTTGTCAGCAATTGATCTCGCTGGCGCAGTTTTTCCACCGCAACTTGTGTAGTCACCATCTCAGCTTGTTTTCTATCAATTTCTGCAATCCATCTGAAGAAAGGTTTTAAATGACATAAATATGATGAATCATCATAGCACAAAGATCAATATCAGGTTAAACTTGACATTTGATTACCCTTTCCTCTCCTTGATAAATTCATTCAACTGCTGCTTCAGCTTAGCTACTTCCTGCTCCTATAAGCAGAAGAATAAATGGATATGTGAAAGTTTCTTTGAAAATGTCCAATAATATCAACATGACAATACAGCTAAAAGTACCTGAACATTATGTAGTTGAGCCTTCTCCATGAGCATTTGTAGTTGTTGATTATCCAGCAAGTTCTGATAAGAGATTAAAATTCTATTAGCAAAATAGTAGACTTCCAAAATATTCGAAACCACTACTAGTGCTGAACTTGAGAACTACATCTAAAACAATTCATTTGCGAAAAGCACAAGGATAGACTGCAAATTACCGCACAACTATTCATGTCCAACTTTAAACCCAACAAATCACGGATAACATCATGGGTCATGCTTTCTGCAGCAGCTAATCGTGCATTCAACATGAATATCTGAGAGAAGATTTGGTTGGTTAGTTGATCAACGAGCATAGCAAAATTTCCTTACACCAATATCAGTGTCAAAGCCATTGAATCAACACTACCTCTTTTTGTCTACTTGCAGCTAGGGCCTCAAGTTCGTCAATACGATGTCTTCCTGCACTAAGCTCCTCATCTTTCTCAGACTTTATCTGTTGAACTAAACCCAGACCGATACATTTAAAAGGGGAACCAGAGCCCCTAGACTTTGAAGCATTTTTTTCCAACTTATTTGCGGATGAATTTGTGCCATGGGTGGCTGGGACATCCTGTTTGACTTGTTCTAACATAGCTTCCAGTACCTTGAACTATTTTTGAAGTTTCATTGAATCATTCTGAGATATGAAAATTTTAACAACTACTGTTTAAGTATAAAGCATGTGTGCTGCTATTGTACCTTTTGCTTGTACTCAGAAGCCTGGGCCTCTGCATGCAAATTTAGTTCAGAGATGTGACCCCTGCATCTGGAGATCTGTTGAACAAAAAGTTCAGTAGTCTTTCCAAATGATAAAAGCAGTTAGAAAAATCATTGTGCTGAACAGCTGAAAAGACATTACAAGTTCAAAATTGCCACTGAAACAAGAAAACTGAAAGAAGAAAATCTGCACCTCTGCATCTTTTGCAGCTATCTCTCTCTCAAGTATTTGGATGCGCTGAAGGGCTTCTTCAAGGATTTTCTCTTTTTCATCAAGTTTCCTAAAGATGTCAAGAAATGAACATTTCAAGATTGAAAATAGTTGATACTCTTGTTTGCTTTTTGTGCTTTGACAAACCTTTTCATATCAGAATCACAGCTTTTGACACTATGCATCTGTTGCCTGATAGCTTGAAGTTCCATTTCAAGTTCCTCCCTTTGCAGTCTTTGCCGTTCAGCTTCTCCTTTCAGTATCTCGACCTTACGAAGCAGGAGATGACGTAAATACATGGCATAAAGACTTTCAAGCTAAAAGTATAACAAGACTGACTACCTTATTTTCGAGTACATTGACTGTACATTCTAGCTCTTCGACAGACCGCTCTAATAGCTTCACCTCCTGTTCCTTACCTTCAACATTAACTTTACTAATTTCTGCCATCTGTTAAAACAACAAGATTTATAGGTATTATATGATAATTGCAGTTGGAATAATCTCCCAAATTACAAAAAGAGAGTGGTATGTCAAATTAGCACTACCTCTTGAGCTTCTGCAGCAAGTGCTCCATTTTCTTCAGCACTAATTCGTGCCATCTCCAGCTCTTTCTTTAAAACAAGCATTTCTCCATGGAGATCATCCCTTTCAACAGTAACATCATTCAAATTACATTTTAAGGACTCAATCATTATGTTCATTTCAGCAAGAGCAATTCCCATTTCAGCAACCTCAGTTTCAAGGTTCTCACTGACTTTCCTTCTCTCGACCAACTCCTCCTCCATGGACTTCTTAGCTTCTAAAGCATCTTCGATGCTGGCAATCAATTCAAGATTTTCACTCTTGAGTGATCTTACAGCCTTATGTTCTTTTGCAATATCCAACTCCAAACAGGATATTATCCTCATTTTCTCCTGCAGCTGAGCTTCAAGTTCTTGGCCTCTGGCAACAGCTTCATTGAGATTGTCTGATTTTAATTGGAGTTCATCTTCCAAAGAACTTATAGAACCCAACAATGCTTCAATTTCATCTTTGTGGTCCATACTATTAGATGCAGACTCCTGCAACAAGCTCATATCAAATAGCAGTCCGCCAAGAATTTCATCTTTCCTCAGTAACTCAGTTTGTAAAGAAGCTGTTTCAGATGCAAGCTCTTTAGTTAAATTCTCTAGATTTTCAAAATCCTCCAAAAGCCTAGATATCCTTCCAAACTCGACACATAGTTCTTGGAACATATCATCCAACAAAAGAGTTTCTTTAGAGGATAAACTGCATATATTGTTGCCTGCGGCATGCAAATATTCCACTGAATCAACACATCTCACAAACTTCGAGCTTGAGGCATTTAGATATTCACGTCCCTTGCTCATGTAATCTCTGAGTTCACCTCTCAAGAGAGCTTTCTCTTCTTGCAAAGCCTTGACTCTAGCAACTTGTATTTGCAAATCCTGGCTTTTTGTTTTAATGACATCTTTGACTACAGACTGAGAAAGGCGGAGTTCATTTACCTCTGCTCTTGCCTCATCCATATCTATCTGCAGTTTTGCAGTTTGATTTTCCAATGAAGAGATGAAATCCTCCAATTTTTTATTTTCAACATCAAGGATGTTCTTCTCCCTTAAGGATGAGATAAGTTCAGCTTTCTTCTCCTCCAATTCCTGTAGGAGCAAAGAATTTTCTGCTTTGAGTTTTGCTATATCCCGATGAGTTGACTTCTCCATCTCATCGACGGAGTGGAACTTGCTAAGTTCTGAATTGTTCATCTGGAGCTCATTCTGAAGTTGAAGAGATGTTGCTTCCAACAAGACAATATTACTTTGCAATGTCTGGTTTTGCTGCTGAAGGGTAGAGATTTCTCCAGAAGAAAGTTCAAGAGCAGCTTCAATCACCTTCTTGTCTACTATTAATTTCTGACATTCAGCATTAAGTTTCTCAACCTGGAATGACAGAATTTTTTTTGCTTCCATCTCCTCATCAAGTTCACCTTTCAATTTATCATTCAAAGAAGCAACTTCATTTAATGACTGAGCATCAAGAAGAAGAGTTCTGTTGAAATCTTCCATTTGAGAAATTGTTGCATTCCTTTTGTCAAGCTCTGACAGCATTGCTTGCAGCTCCTTTCCTGCTACTTCAAATTCCTTCTGTAGAGAAGAATGTTCTTCTTCTATCTCAAGCAAGATTGATTCAGTTACTCTTGCATTTATAACTTGGAAAATCATGTCTTCCTTGAAAGTCTCAAGAACTTCAATAGAACTTTGCTGTTCTTTCTCAATGTCAGCTTTTATAGCAGTTGCTTGTTCTAACTGCAATGACATGATCAAAAATTCAAAATCTCTTGCAGACATTTCCATTATAAAATTGTCCTGCTGAGATCGGAATACTTCCTCCTGTTTTTTCAGCAACCTTTCTCGATCTAGAAAAGATGCCAATACATTCTGGTTACTAAGATCCAGCTCCTTCATTAGCACTGCCAGTTCTGATCCCATATGGTTAGACCTTTGCAACATTAACTCTTCTTGAAACTGTAGATCCATTATCTTTTGCTCAAAAGTAGTTAGCTTGATGCTGAGTTCCCCAGTTTCATCCTCTTTCCTGGATATGCGATCAAAACTATTTTTGATGTCAGCCAATAACTTGCCCTCAAGACTTCTGCAACTCTCAAGCTCTCTCCTTGATTTGATATTCTGCTCTCTCAACTCAGATATAACTGCATTAGATTCACCAAACCCACGGCTTAGCAAACCATTTTCTGCATTTAATCCAGTCACTGTTTCCAAGAGAATTCCCAAATGACAAAGGTGCAGAACGGACACAGCAGAATCCTTGATAATGATCTCAGACCAGATGTCCTCAAGACATGAGCTCATTAACTTTATGGAGTCATGAAAGTAAGACCTCATGGAAAGGCAATCAGAGGCTACAGACAAACAATCTTTGATCGAAGCAGTTTGGACCTGTGAAAAAACCAACTCCATTTCCATTACTGAGCTCTTCATTGTGTCAAAATCTGATTTCAACTGTCTTTCGACTTCTTCAAGGTGGCAATTCTTCTGATCGTTTATGATCTGCAAGCTTTGAACTTGCCTGATAAGGGAATCGCTGTCACAAATTAGCGAAACCTCCTTTTTCCTGAGCTCTTTAACCTCAAGCTTTAGGGTTTCATTCGCTATCATAAGTTCATTTATCATTATATCTGCATCTTTCATGGTGTCTTGGACCTCTTCAAATTTAGCAAGAATGCAGGAAGCTTCAGTGTCTTTCTGCGTGGAAACTGCCCTTGCATCCCCAAGCTCTGCCTCAAGCAACTGCAAAAAAGTACAGGTTAAATTATCAAGTATTAACAAGGGAGACGATCAATTAGGACTCAGTTAATAGCCGAGACTAGAATTTGTTATAGGATAATGGTAAATACACAATCTGACAGAGGAAGGTGAATATTTTTTCCACCCCCAACTTGTAAATTTAGGTTATTTATAGTATTGTCAATTATGAAAAACAGGAACGAGCTTGTCCATTCACAGTTTTGCAAGATTGATCAGAAATTCCACTTATTGCTCGATCAAATTAGGCAGCCTGAGTTATTAGATATTCCACTTAAATAAGAATCAACAAATTTGGAATGGATTACCTCTTTTTGCTTGATCCAGGAATTACAAGAGTACTGCACAATTTCTTCCAACCCATGTAGCTTAAATTCCAGACTATCAATCCTGAATTTTGATTCCTCTTCAAAATAATCCATAGCATTCTGCAAAAGAACTACCTGATTCACAATGCAGTCAATGCCCCTCTGGATCTCTTTCTCGGATGTGTAGAATTTATCTTTCTCATCTCGTAATTTGGACATCTCAGCTTGCACCCCATTCAAGCTTTCGAGAGCAGATTCTATTTCTTTCTTCAGAAGCATAATGGTGGCATCTTTGTTGTTTACATCCTTCAAAGTATTTTGACACTCCAAAATGTTCTCACCACTTCTGTTATTTCCTAGGTCAGCAAAACATCCTGGTGATTTAAATATTATATCTCCGTCAGCACATGAGTTCATGCATTTGAAAGCTTCTTTTGTCTCCATACCTGTCTGCAACAAATACCAACATAGACACAATTAGTAAATGAAATTCTGAAGAAATCTTATGCTTCATTCTTTTTTAAAGGGTGAACGAACTAAAGAGTCAGCTAGATTAAATAAGGAAAGTGCTAAATTACCCGTTTGTCATCATTTTCATTGACTGAGAAGCATGTAGAAGTTTCTGTAGAATCATGTCCTCCAAAACTTCCAATTGTCTCCACATACTCCTTCATGTAAGATCTCACTTCTGAAACACCATTTTTGAACTCTGTAAGTTTCTCTCCTGTTTTCAAGATAGTTTTTTCTTCATAGTCTTCTAGCTCCAGTCTCAAAGCATTACCACATTTCTGCTCCTCAGATAGCTTCAGACTTAGATCACTGCAGCTTGCCTTCAACCCTTCTAAGTCTTTTTTAAGAGACTGAACCTGCTTCTCTGCTTCGCCAATTATCGAAGCCTGACTCTGAATTACACAATCCTTGTTAGTGTTTGTTTCTACTAGTTCCATGAGCTGTTTATCCAAATGCTTTAATGCATCAAGATGATTAGAGTTCAACTCAGATAATCGATTCACAATAACAAAAGCAACTGTTGCACAAGTTGAAGCATTTCTAAGATGATCCTCGACATGCTTGATTCTGTTATTCAGTTCAAGAATTGTGGAAGATTCAGCAGTCAACTGGGAAGATAGCTGGATTATCTCTTTGTCCTTTCTACTGCACTCTTGCTGGTGCACTTCAGTCATAACCAGAGCGGCTCCTCTTAAAGAACTCAGCATGCACTCCATTTCGTTTCTTTTACTGGAAGCAACATCTAAATAATGGTTGAGCTCTTCAATCAGCAATTCCTTCTCAAAAATGTGTTTTGCCATCCTTCCAAATTGTGCAGAAATCCAACTGCTTTTCTGGGGAAATGAACTTGAGATAGTAGTCAGTTGATCTGATGCATCTTTAAGGGACTCATGCCCACCTTGGAGAACAGCTTCAATCTCATTGGTCAACAGATCCCATTCTCCAGACAATTGTGCTAATTCATTTTCTTTGTTCTCTAGCAATTTGCTCAATTTTGTGTTTTCTTGGGTCATCAAAGATAATTTTTCCTGCAATTCTTTTATTTCAGTTTGCAAAACTGCCAAGCTCTCTTTGGTCTCCATCTCTTTCTCATTACCTGCTTGGACTTCTTGCTGAAGAAGATAAAGTTCTTCCTGCAGGCATACAATGACCTCGGCAGTTTCAGCCTCAACCTGCCTACGGACCTCATCCATTTGTTCTTCATTGGATGCCTGAAATGCTCTGTCACTTTGGTACCACTTATTGAGTCTGTTGGCTTTTTCTAGAGAAGCATGCATCTTGTTCAGCTTCTCTTCTAAAGAACAATCTTCATTGTGCGTAGTTGATGGAAGATTTTTGAAATCTTGACAACCAGTTTGCTCCTTCAGAGTAGAGAGTTCAAGCTTCTGTTTGTGCAAAGTTTCCACGTTCTGGGTGTTAGCGTTTCTGAGTTCCTCTAACTCATTGATCACTAGAATTTGTTGTGACTCGAGAGCTTCAATGATGGATTTTGCTTCCTTTAGTTCTTCTTCCACAGCATTACACTGTTTGGTTATCAAAAGGACCTTTTCCTTTGACAGACTAAGATCTCTGTTCAAGGATTGTGCCCTGGTCTCAGCTTGCTGACGGTAAGACCTCTCTTCTTTAAGAATAACTTTCACAATATCCAACTCCAGTTGCAAATCAAGAACTTCTTCTATTTGTTCATTCATATTTCCTGGCCAAGTTTCTTTCTTCACTTTCTGAGCAGCCTCTATTGGCTCATTATGGAAAGATGGAGCTTCCGTTATGGACTCCTGGAAAGTCATGGAAAATTATCCTCATCAACAACTTGAAAGTGCATATCCTATATTGCATGACACATACTGTGCAAGAAAAATAACATATGGTCATTATGCTCCACTAAGAAGGTTCATGCATATGCTAAGAACTGCAAATCATCCTGAAACGTTCTTAAGCTACAAAACCTACTAAATGCACTTCTGTAATTATACAAAGACCAGAATTTCATGTTAGATAAATTGACTTGCACATTACACATCACTTCTGCACTTATAAAGGAACTGTTATTCAATAACTTCCTGTTAATATACTGTTTAATACATTAGCTATTATTTACAACAATATTAACAGAGATTTTAAATATACTGTTCCTCGAAACATAACTAATTACATGTTATGATCAAGAGCAGTTAAGATGAATAAATTTAATAAGTTTATTCACATCCCTCAATAAGAAATGTTCTTTGACCTTTTGCAAAACTCAAGAAAAGCATATTTATGGGCCTCATCCACTTGCCGAGCCAAACATGATCTTTAGCTACCCATAAAATGGAGTGCCATTGTCCAAGAAAGTTACCTTAATGACTTTAATATTGCCATCCTGTTCCTCAGCTCCAGATCTACTAATGCTTAATGAAGAGTGCAAATCCTCAACTTCCCTGCAGAGTCTGAAATTGTTGAGCCAAAAAAGAAAAAAAGAAGAAGAAAAGATGCAGCAGGAACGAACTCTTTACCTGCTGAGCTTTGCATTGTACTCTAAGCAGCGGTTTAGGTTAGTCCTGCATTCTTCTAATTCACACAGTGTCCTTTTTAACTGCAATATAAGACTACATATCAGATATGAGAAATCAAGATCATGGAATTTCACCCAACTCTTCAGAGATGAGAATTCAAACCTCTTCGTGAACTGAATCATTCTCTTCGAGTACATCTATGCGCTGCTGTCACAAAGGGACAAAGAATTAATTATGTAAGGCGTTAAGGGTTTGATACTTACAATCTCTTCTATTTCTATTCTAATTTTGAACCTAAATCAGGAATGGCAGTAGAAAGAGATTAAAAGGTACTTTAGAGGATTACATTGGGCAGCATGCTCATGTCTAGATGGTTAAGTTGCTTCAATGTCCCGTCAAGAGAAAAAATTAACTGTCGAAAAGGGGGATAGTGTTAATACATGCCACAAACTTGAGAACAGAAAAAGCATCTCGGCTGTTTTTCAGATTCTTGAATACCTGATCCCGAAGTTCAGATACCTCTGCTGATAGCATTTCTCTCTCCCCTTCTTCATAGAAGTCCTGAAATCTACCAGCAGAAATAATGAACTTTTAGACCAAAATCAATACCTCTTACTCTTAAAAGTATCTTAGAATGTCTCATGATTTTTATTCTTAGAAATCCTACCTTCGAAGTTGTTCTAGAAGCCTAATGTTTTCAAGGGCAAAGCGAGTCACTTCTGGATTTTTTTCTACTTTGGCTCGAAGCAACTGAACTTCATTGGAAAGCTCCCTGTTCTCTTCCAATAAGTAAGCATCTGTTGGCATTAATCCACCAAGAAGAGACTCCAATCGTTGAATCTTGTCTTCCCTGAATTTCAACATCATCTTTGTGCACCTGGTGTCTTCCTCCCTTTGACGCACCTGTGAAACACTGTATTATTATGCAAGGAAAATCAAGCAAGTAAAGAATTTAGAGCTATATGACAATATAACTTGTGTTTTGTGATTAGTGTGGCTCTTCTTGTGAAAAAAAGCACATATATAAGAAGATAGGATCAGGACTACCAGACGGTTCAGCTGCTCAATCTCAGCTTCAAGTTGTTTAATAGAAATTTCTGCCATCTTTTCTCTCCTTAAAGCACCAGCAAGTGTAGTCTCCAACGATTTGAACTGGATAAGAAAAAACTGAGGAATAAAATAGCTGGATATGGCAGAAAAAAAGATATTCTAAAATTAAACATCACAAGCATTTCATAAGCAAGAAAGATCTTGAAGTCATAAAGATGAAAATTAAAATTGTATTTTAATTCTAGAAAGGAATCGGTTATATAGAGCTTTTCTCTTGCAATTCAACTAATTCATGAGTGGCACAGTGACATAGTGGACAATCCATGATATATGAATAGCAAAAATTACTTCCACATTCTGTACACTAATGGTCAATTGTCATTTGTTGGACAAAATAATTAATCTCATCCTCGGTCCTATTGCCTGATGATATCTCCATTTCCCATCGTTAGATCCCTCAGCCGCTAAATGCTCCATGTCCTCTCCGTTTAATTGATGTTTGAGGCAGATAATTACTGGAAACATCAAAAATGCAAGAAGGCTTATGCACAAAAAGGAAGCTATTATACCTGTTTAGTAGATAATCTCAGACTGCCTTTGTCTTTATCAAGTAAATAAGGCTGCTGATCTATTTCAAATGCTTCTTCATAGCAACTACTGCCATCTTCATGTGTATTATTCACCATAAGTGGACCAAATGTCAAAGCCCGGGATACATTTTGATGTTTGAGAACAGAAAGCTCCTCCTGTTGAATAGTTCCATAAAAGATCAAATTTTTGGATTGATTGCATATTGAGATCAGTAAAACAGAAGATGCTACCTTAAGAAGCCGTATCTGGTTTTGTAATGTGACAACATCTCCAGAAGTATCTTCATTAACAACAGCCTATTTTATCACAAAAGAGAGATAAAAACAAAGAAAAAAATAGGAGCTAATATATTGGTTGAATCTGAAAATGGATCACGTTAGATACACTAGGAAAATAGCTTACATTGTTCTGAATGAGCTTTGCTCGCTGAGCAAACTTTAAAGTGTTCAGTGTTTCTGCAGCTGAGCTGAAGAAGAGAAATGAAGTTAAAGTCCATATAATTTCAGGACCTCTACATTCTAGGCACAGTGCATCAAAGTAGCAAAAACTTATGTACGGACCAAATAGAAGGGCTGACGTTGGCTATTATCATTGTTTTCGAGTTTCCACCTAGAGAATCCTGTATTACATTTCTTGTGAGAACAAAAGTATGTATACGTTAATGCTCAATGACGAGCAAGAAATAACTTTTACTTGACCTGAAGCAAAAATGTCAGCCTGGAGTCTCTATATGGAATATGCCTTGGTCTTCCATTTGCAACATCCACAAGAACCATTATTACATGTCTGCAAGAGGGAAAAATATAAATAAAGTTAAACATAGGAGCCTGCCACCAAAAGGGTAATACTGGCAGCAGCATCTAATGATGTTGAGCATACCCTAGAGTAGATAATGATTTGTTGATATTTGCTGCCTCCTTTAGACGTTCACCTTCAGCGCCAGAAGTCTTTTGCCTGTTGCAAGCGAAGGCAATGTGGCATACATATTGGAGTTCATGTTTTTGACATTGTAAATGAATGGCAAGCTTGATTATATTAGAGCGCTACCTTTCAGAACCAGCAAGATCGACAAGGTTCAGCCGTGCGAAACGGAAATTACATGTGGAGTCCTTTTCCCAACTACTCTCAATTTCACATGTAAAAACACTGTGTGACCTGCTGCTTTCTCTGTTCATATTGGTAGCTGCAACTTTCCTGTTTGAAGAACCCTAAGCAGCAACATAAAAGCTCAGCATGTAGAGACATTTTCCAAATTGAATTACTAAGTAGAAGTAGTCACCTGTCTCAAAAGTCTAAGAATGTCACCAACAGTTTGGACTTCAAATTCTGATAGATTTTCAACGTACACACCTTTCTTGATATCCTCACGCAACTTGAAATGGAAAATTTAATTATCAGAAAACATCTGAAACCTTTCATGTGTGTTTAAAGTCATATTAGTACAAAGGCAGAACCGAAAGTACCTGTAAGTTTGTTGATGAAGGATCAAGGAGATCGCTAATCTGCTCATTATAGATCTCTAAAAATGAACATTTGCAATGATATCGTAATTTCTCATCCTTACGACTTTCCTCTTCCTGAATGGTAAAGAGTCATAGAAAGCATGTTCAAATATGGTAAAATACTTATATCAGAAGTTGACTGAACAAAAGAAAGAAAAGGCGTTAATCTTACTGCTCTGATTCTTGCAAACAAGAACTCAAATATCCGTGGCGTCATACCACGATTTAAGCTGGGTTTAATTTCTAGCTCGTCAATGTCACCAAGCATTGTGTGCGTCTTCCCACTTCCTGTCTGCATTGTTTAACTTTTACATTTCAGGACAAGCTATTGACTTCAGGCTAAACCCAAGAAAAGATAAGCAGATTAAAGCAATTTTACTTCAAACTACATATGGACAAGGTTTAATGGTTCAATAAATTTTGATTAACACCACAAGTGAACAACCAGAGCTGAAAAAACTGCCGCATTTTGAAAAGGAGGAAACTTTGACAGCAACACAGACACCTAAAACCAAGTATAATTAGCAGAGGAAAGGCAATAGTTATTCAAAGAAGCCAGGAGAGACAGAAAATTGTAAAACTGTTGACAGTTTACACATTTTAAAACCATAGAAGAGTCTCAAAATATTTAGCGGGAGAGGACATTTAGAGCCAGACAATAGAATAAAGCAAATATAAGAAGTAATATATCCTTTTAGTTCAGTCAAGATACGCATCAGATTCTATCTATTGATAGGGATTCTCGGAAATACTCTCCTACGATTTTATTTTATTTTTGTCTCAGTTGCATTCTTTCCTATGAAATGCTTGGTAATTCTGCAGGCTTCTACTTTGGTAAATGAGAGCCAACAATATATACACTCCCCAGTTTACTTCTAATGATTTTAAGAAGAACGTGCAATTTATATTTCATACCTGCCCATAAGCAAACATACAGCTGTTGTATCCAGATAAGCAGTTCTCCACCATTGGCAAACCAACCAACCTGAAAAGTGTTTCCTGAAAAATTGCAATAGTTTCGATATTAGACGAAGGAAATTTCCACAAGAAATTCATTCGTAATTGCTTTTTTTTTTTAATCTAATAGAATACCTGGTCTATTGATTCACAGGCAACATGATCAAATGTGAACCGTGTTTCAGGTTGCCCAATCCAGGTGATGGTTTGTGCACTTTCCTGCTTCAGGCACCTAGAGTAACCATGAGTACTCTTTTCTGCATTGCTGAGAGGCCGTACACGTATCAAAACCTAAATAAATTCAATGCTTAGCTTCCAAATTTACTCTTTTACAAATAATGTAAGGAAAAAAATAAACAAATATATTCATCGAGAGCTGAAAAGACATAGCACATCAATAAAAGCAGCTTACCTGGACATTGTGCTCCAACCAGAATGAGTGGTCCTCCTTGAGTTCAAAATGGGGGACCTCGACAGAATTGACAACAGTAACTGAATTACAAGAAATTGGTATCCCTTTAGACAGAGCAGCAAAGTTGGACATCCGAGCACCACCACTAGGAGGAGGCCTAGAACCACTAGCCAAACATAATCCCGGATTTTGAGGCTTGCTCACACTCTTTGTAGGTGTGCTTTGCGTTGAATTACACTCTGAATAACTGGAATTATTAGCCCTCCCTATAGTCCTAGTCGACCGAGGGGTTACAACATTGGCCACTGTCCGCGTATTACCATTCCCATCACCCTTCATTTCTGCAGCATTTGAACTTGATTCACTTTTCTGGGCCCAACCGAATCGATTTTTGCCTTGCTTTTCCGGTGTACGAAGGTGCACTGAGGTTGTAGCTTTGGTGGACTTAGTAGGGGTTCTATCAGTTTTACTGACCCTAACACTCATTTCTTGATCTAAGCCACCTTTCAAAACCTGGGCTGGTTCTTGAATGACATTTAAGGGGGGCCTTGATGATGAATCTGAACCAATCTGAGGAACCAATGAGTCCTTTGGATTCAGTGGAACATTCTCAGCATCCTCTATACTGGAATCCTTCCCCGTGTTTCGGCGCAAGAACTTGAAATCTCTCAACATTCTGTACAGAAGACGAGCAAACAGAAGTGAGAAATAAGAGGTTTCTTGATTTCTTGAGAAAAAAAAAAAGAAAAAGAAAAGATGAAGAAAGGATTTTCGATGGTTTACCTGGCTGAGGAAATGACAAAAAGAATTCTCAGTCCACGAGACCCTGAAATTATGTTCCTCTGAGGTAGAGAAAAGGAGCTATATTTAGCTGATCCAGTGCTTGATTTTTACTCTTCGGCTTGATTTAATGCTCTATAAGCAGTGGTAAGAAGGGAAATTAAGCGAGTTTCTCCGCAGATTCTTCATGTGCTGTGTAGTATTTGGAGAGGGGAGGGGGGAGTCTTGAAATCTTGAAAGGAGAAGTTGAGCGCTAGTACTCTACTCACTATGACTAATTGACTATTATGGGTTTGGTAACAAGGGTGGCGTTGGGGTTGGATGGACGGCTGGGATTTGAGGAGATTTTGAATTTGAGGGTGGCGTAAAATTGTAAGCACCACCGCGGCTGTGGGATTTGAAATGTGCGAACCGCAGAGGCTAATTTGGGGGGGCAGGGTGGGTCTTTTTGAAGAAAAAGGAAAAGCATGGGGTTGAAATTTGAAGTGTAAATAATTTGCTCATAACGGCTAGATTTTATGATTTTTAAATGACGTCGAGCCGTGGTCCACGGCCAGGAAGGAAATAGGGGGCCCAAAATTCCGTCATTCCTTCTCCCCGTTTTCGGTTAGTACAACTGTTCACAATTTTTGGACAAAAGTCCAATGTGTTCTTAAAGGATCTAGAGACGATATCGATGTGGAATTTCATTCAGACAAGTAATCAGTTTGCTACAAATGTATGAGATTGTTGCTGAAAATTTTCAAGAAACTTGTCATGTTTGGTAAGTTAGTGCATACAATGCACATGTATGCACAGAGAACAGAGTAGTATTCTCGTCGTTGATTGTATCCATTTAATTAGATTGATATAAATAGATAAGTTAAAATATAAATTGAGTAACCTAATTATCAATTTATAACTCAATTTATACCACCCTTTTCACCCCATCATTAATTTTAAATATTTACTTATAATGTTCAATAAGCTTAATTACCAAATTTTTCCCATCCGTACTCTATGTTGTAAAATTACATACTATTTAACAATTGAACAATAAGAATATAAAAATTTGAACTAAGTACTATAAAAATTAATATAAAAATTTAATCCAAAAATTTTGAATTCCTAACATTTTTTTAATATGTAAATTTAAAATTTTATTTTGAAAAGGTAGGAAAAAAGACTAAAACTTGTTATAAATTGGTAATACTAAAAAAGAGCAAGTTAACAAACTAAGAGAAAATAAAATGATAAAATAAAACCAACAAATAATAATAATAATAATAAAACAAAAGTAGTTAATATCATGACAAAATAAAAAATCTGAAAAAAAATGAATGGGGGAAGAGATGAGGTTTGGAAAAAGACAATTCTAAATGGATTAATTGGTTTTGATGGATTATCCAATAATACCCATTTAATAAATTAATATTATTGAGTAACTCATTTATACTCATATGCAAAAATTCAAGATACCCATATCTATCTATTTATGGACGAATATAAATAAATTTAACTAAATAAATTTATTTGCCACCTATATCCGCAAGCACCCTGCAATCTGCATTGGTTTGCAGCATTTTTCCTTATTTTTGATCTAATCTGTTATTGTTATAAAACTAATCAAATAAACTACTATAATATCAAGTGAAATATTGGAGAAAAAAGTAGAGAAAGAAGTAGAGAAATGGAGAGTAATATTCTTATATTCCAATAAGATACAAAAATCATCACAAAGGGTTTCAATGTACCTCTATATATAGGCACTACAAGATTAAAGGTACATAAATCCTATTAAACATCCACTATTACAATAATATGAAGAAACCTATGAAACGGTTTCTCCACTACATGAATGGATTTATGAATTGTAACTTCTATACATAAGTAGCCATAAAATCATGAATTAATCCCCTTGGGAATACAAAGGGACATCCACATTTTTGTTATTTCATAACACTCCCCCTTGGATGTCCATTACACAAAGAATATGCCTCGTTAAAACCTTACTAGGGAAAAATCCAGTGGGACCAAAAAACCCTAGTGAAGGAAAAAGAGTACACTATTCTTGTGTAATAATTTCTCCCCCTGATGCAAACGTCATTTGAGATCTTTTAATCGTTGCATTCCAATACTCTTCACCAATTTCTCAAATATCGCAGTTGGTAATGCCTTGGTAAATAAATCGGCCAGATTATTATCTGATCGGATTTGTTGCACATCAATTTCACTATTCTTTTGCAAATCATGAGTAAAAAAGAATTTTGGTGAAATATGTTTCGTCCTATCTCCTTTAATATATCCTCCTTTCAATTGAGCTATACAAGCTGCATTATCTTCATATAATATAGTTGGAGGATTTTCTTTTCCGGAGGATAACCCACAATTCTTCTGGATATAGTGGGTCATTGATCTTAACCAAACACATTCTCGACTGGCTTCATGAATTGCTATTATTTCAGCATGATTCGATGAAGTGGCGGCTAGTGATTGCTTTGTAGATCGCCAAGAAATGGCTGTGCCTCCATATGTAAATAAATAACCAGTCTGAGACCTTGCTTTATGCGGGTCGGATAAATACCCAGCATCAGCATAACCAACCAATTCAGGTTTGGATTTATTTGAATAAAATAAACCAAGATCTATTGTTCCTTGGAGATAGCGAAAAATATGTTTAATACCATTCCAATGTCGTCTTGTGGGCGAGGAACTAAATCTTGCTAATAAATTTACTGCAAATGATATATCAGGCCTTGTACAATTAGCAAGATACATTAGTGCACCAATTGCACTAAGATATGGTACTTCAGGACCAAGTATCTCTTCATTTTCTTCCGTGGTCTAAAAGGATCCTTATTAGGATCTAATGATCTGACAACCATTGGGGTACTCAATGTATGTGCTTTGTCCATATAAAATCGCTTTAATACCTTCCGGGTATAAGCAGTTTGGTGGACAAAAATGCCACCTTTCAAATGCTCAATTTGTAAACCAAGGCAGAATTTTGTCTTTCCAAAATCTTTGATCTCAAATTCTTTCTTCAAATATTCAACACTATTTTGAATTTCTTCAGGAGTTCCAATTAAATTTAGATCATCAACATATACCGCAATTATCACAAAATTTGATCCATTTTTCTTGATAAAAACACATGGACATATTGGATCATTGGTATAACCTTCTTTTGTCAGACATTCATTGAGACGGTTATACCACATACGTCCAGATTGTTTGAGCCCATACAGAGACCTTTGTAATTTAATAGAATAAATATTTTTAGGATTTGATTTGCATGCTTCAGGCATGTTGAATCCTTCGAGAATTCTCATATAAATATCATTTTCAAGATTCCCATATAAATATGCAGTAACGACGTCCATTAGATGCATATCTAATTTTTCATGTACTGTAAAACTCACAAGATATCTAAATGTGATAGCATCCACTACAGGTGAATACGTTTCATCATAATCAAATCCAAGCCTTTGTGAAAATCCTTGGGCTACAAGTCTTGCTTTATATCTCACAATTTCATTTTTCTCATTTCTTTTTCTCACAAATACCCATTTATATCCTATTGGCTTTACACCTTCAGGTGTTTGGACTACAGGTCCAAAAACTTTTCTTTTAACCAGTGAGTCCAATTCAGATTGGATCGCATCTTTCCATTTTGGCCAATCATTTCTACCTCGACATTCATCAACCGATCTAGGCTCATGATCCTCGTCCTCTGCCATAATATCAAGTGCTATATTATATGCGAAAATATTATCAATAATTATTTCTTTTCAGTTCCAACTTTTTCTTGAAGTGACAAAATTTATTGAATTTTCTATAGTTTCATTCTCTTCAAGAATTGGCTCTTTAGGAGCGACCTCTTCAGGAGGTTGAATTTTGTCACTAATTGTTGATTCATCTATTTCTCTTTTCTTTCGAGGATTTTTATCTTTGGAACCAAGAGGTCTCCCACGCTTCAGGCGTGCTTTAGACTCATTAGCACTTGTGATTTGTTCTTCAGGGACATCAATTTTAATCGGAGCATTTTCAGCAGGAATATGTGATTTAGTAACTCTTTTGGAGTCATTAAATGCATCCGGTAATTGATTTGTAATTTTTTGCAAATGTATAATCCTTTGAACTTCTAATTCACATTCTTTAGTACGAGAATCAAGGAAATTCAATGATATTTTCCAAGTGATTTCCTTTTTCGGTTGATTTTTATCTCCCCCTAATGTCGGAAAATGTGACTCGTCAAAATGACAATCTGCAAATCTCGCAGTAAATAAATCACCTGTTAATGGTTCCATATACTTAATGATTGAAGGTGATTCATATCCGACATATATCCCCAATCTTCTTTGTAGGCCCAATTTATGACGTTGGGGCGGTGCAATTGGAACATACACCGCACAACCAAATATTCGTAAATGAGAAATATTTGGCTCATAACCAAAAGTTAATTGTAGGGGAGAATAAGTGTGATAACTTGTCGGCCTAATTCTCACAAGTGTTGCTGCATGTAAAATAGCATGTCCCCAAGCAGATGAAGGAAGTTTTAGACCTCATCAACAATGGTCTAGCAATTAATTGTAGTCGTTTAATAAGTGATTCGGCTAGACCATTTTGTGTGTGAACATAGGCTACAGGATGTTCAACAGTTATTCCAATGGACATACAATAATCGTCAAAAGCATGTGACGAATATTCACCAGCATTATCTAGACGAATTTTCTTTATTGGAAAATCTGGAAATTGTGCTCGCAATTTAATTATTTGAGCAAGCAATCTCGCAAATGCCAAGTTGCGAGTAGATAATAAACATACATGTGACCATCTAGTTGATGCATCAATTAGCACCATAAAATATCGAAATGGTCCACATGGTGGATCTACAGGCCCACATATATCACCATGAATTCGTTCTAGAAATGCAGGGGATTCAGTCCCAACTTTAACTTGTGATGGTCTAATAATTAATTTCCCTTGAGAACAAGCAACACAAGAGAATTCATTGGCTTTTAATACTTTTTTATTTTTCAATGAGTGGCCATGTGAATTCTCAATTATTCGTCTCATCATTATAGATCCAGGATGTCCGAGACGATCATGCCAAATTATAAAATCATCGGGATGAGTAGACTTCTGGTCTACTAGGTGATGAATTTCAATTGCACTAATTTGTGCATAATATAACCCAGAAGAAAAAGAAGGTAATTTTTCTACTTCGCATTTTTTCCCATAAATGATACTTGTGATTAATAAAAATTCACCATTTGTCTCAGTCATTGTCTCGATATGATATCCATTTTCGCGGATATCTTTAAAACTCAATAAGTTTCTTCGAGACTTGGGAGAGAATAGTGCATTATTTACAATAATTTTAGTCCCTTCAGGGAGAAATATAGTGGCTCTTCCGGAGCCTTCAATCAATTTTGCACTACCACTAATGGTATTAACATTTGTCTCTCCCATTTTCAAACAAGAAAAATATTTTTTATTTTTCAATATGGTGTGCGTAGTAGCACTATCAATGAGACAAATATCATCATCACCATTATTTAATCCCAAATATTTGACATCCATTTCTTCTTCAGGAAGAAAATTTCAAACAAAAATAAATATTAATAAAGATGCGAAAATAAATATTCAATGGAAAGGAAATTACATGAAAGATATAAAACATCATAAAAATATCTAAATAATCATGGGATATTTGTTGACATCTTCAGGATGTTCAAAAAAATCAGCAACATCGAGGTGTGTCATGTCAGCATCATCACCATCATCATAGTCATTCTTTTGATCAATGAAATTTGTCTCAACACCTTTGTCTTTCTTTTTCAATGATGCTTGATAGAGGTCAACAAGATGTTCGGCCGTACGACAGGTACGAGACCAATGACCTTCCATACCACACCGGTAGCATTTTTCTTCATAAACTTTCTTTTCTCCATTTTTCTGATCGTAGTTATTTTCCCTCTTTTGGGAAACATTTTGTTGCTTGCCCCGGTTAAAATTTTCACGGGGCACACATTTACTACGATCACGTCCACGGTCACGGCCACGTCCGCGGCCTCCTCCACGGCTACCTCTACGGCCACGTCCACGACCTCGACCAGAATTTTGAAATTGGGTCGCATTCGCTTCAGGGAATGGACTTGCACCAGTTGGTCGGGACTCATGATTTTTCAGCAACAATTCATTGTTTTGTTCAGCCAAGAGAAGACATGCAATAAGTTCAGAATATTTTTTAAACCCCTTCTCTCGATATTGCTGCTGCAGGAGCATGTTAGAGACATGAAAAGTAGAAAATGTTTTTTCTAACATATCTTCATCAGTGACTTTTTCGCCACATAATGATAATTGAGAAGTGATTCTGAACATGGCTGAATTATATTCGTTGACAGATTTAAAATCTTGCAGCCGTAAGTGAAGCCAATCATATCGGGCTTTTGGAAGAACGACCAACTTCAGGTGGTCGAATCTTTCTTTCAAATCTCGCCAAAGGACAAGAGGATCTTTAACAGTAAGATATTCTGATTTTAATCCTTCATCTAAATGATGACGAAGAAAAATCATAGCTTTGGCACGGTCTTGGTTTGAGGATTCATTTTTTTCCACAATAGTATTACCAAGACCCATTGCCTCAAGATGGATTTCAACATCCAATACCCATGATAAATAATTTTTTTCAGAAATATCAAGAGGTACAAACTCTTGTTTTGTAAGATTAGCCATAAGAAATTGAAATAAGATTTTGACTTAGAAATTTACCTCAAAAGTCACTTGAAGAAATACGGGCAGAATTTCGGCAAAATCTTGTACTTCACTTTTGCTCAAAGTAGCGCCTTCGTTTTCGCCATTGCTCAAAAGAAGAGCTTTCGTGCTGATAACGTGTTATAAAACTAATCAAATAAGCTACTATAATATCAAGTGAAATATTGGAGAAAGAAGTAGAGAAATGGAGAGTAATATTCTTATATTCCAATAAGATACAAAAGTCATACCAAAGGGTTTCAATGTACCTCTATATATAGGCACTACAAGATTAAAGGTACATAAATCCTATTAAACATCCACTATTACAATAATATGAAAAAACCTATGAAACGGTTTCTCCACTACATGAATGGATTTATGAATTGTAACTTCTATACATAAGTAGCCATAAAATCATGAATTAATCCCCTTGGGAATACAAAGAGACATCCACATTTTTGTTATTTCATAACAGTTATGGATAAGTTCAGATATTGACGGTGGTGTTGTAATCTAGACTTTCAAAAATAAAAATAAAAAAAAATCGAGACTTTCAATTACTACTAAATAATAATAAAAATTACTACTAAATAATAAGGTCATATTCCCCGTTGGAAGAGATATATATTGTACTACTATTAATCAACACAATAATTGCCCATCTATCCACTTCGTATACCCTATCACCTAACACAGGATGGGGTATTGCTATCAGAAAGAAGATCAGGCAAAAAAAAAAAAAAAGAAAAGAAAAAAGAACGAAGAGGTGGCGTGACCATTGGAGTTTCCAAAAGCCAACTTTATCTCTGCATAACTCAGACAGGAAGTCTGTCAACTATAAAAGGGGTTGGAATTCTTTTCACAATAAAAGAGTTGAAATTTGGAACAGTTGGGGACAAAAGGAAGGAAACTCTAGCAGCAGCTAAAAATGGTGATCCAGAGGTTGGAATTATGCATAGAACTACTGAACCTTGTAATTGAGTTCGTGGTGGTCTTTATCAACGCTGTTGGAATGGTTGTCGATCAAACCACCTCGCTGCATCTCTTTGCTTCCAATCCAGCTTATACCGTTCCAGCTCCATATGTCGGTCTTCTTCCTTAAATCCTTTTTTTGCCACCAAAATATGTCTAGGAGAGCCCTTGTGCGTGTGCTGTTTCAGTAATGTATAGCAGAGCTTGTATCTTCCATTTTCAAGATTGTATCACGTCTGTCCATCTTTGTGGTGCATATGCATTTTGTCTCGATGTACCTTTGCACATAAATTGAGATTTATACTTGAAGTTTTTGCATTTGCATTAGCTTGTCATTTCCCCGGCAAAATTTGTTAGGAAATGTCACTGCTAAGGTGATTTGGGCCCGTTTCGTTTCTTCTTGTTTCTTCAGGACAGTAATGGCTTCCAAGTTCTAAATTGTTATTGTTTTTCAGTGCAATAAAGAATGCTTTCACCTGCAAGATGGTTGCTATGTTTGATAAGCAGAATGCTTGGTTTATTAGTTTGTTACCGCTGACAATATGTAGTATATCTTAACTAAGGACCGAAAATCAGAAAAGACTTGGCAGTTTCGGGATGAATGGTCAATATGGGCGGTGCATAGGCCTCTGCCTCTATGGCTCTATCAGGATCATAATACTCTGGCTTCTGTAGAATGACAAAGAGTTGGTATGTTCTTTGCATTCAAAAGGAGGACTCATATGAGCGAGATTCGCAAGAGTTGGCATATTCTGAAAGGAATTTTGCTCATTTTTTAGCTCCAATTACATACAAAATTTGCACTCTTCGGCAATCAGCATTTCAAAGCGTCACTGTGGATATAACTTCGTCCTTTGTCTCTATCCATTTGTTCAAGTTAACGAAGAAGCCTATGTCATTGTATTATGTAAGTTTTATTATTTCTTTTTCTCTGCCTGCCAGGAAAGTAAATAACCATCTAAAATATTGAAACAAGGACTTTTTTAGTACCCCAGTTTCAAGAAACTGGAGAACCTTTTTGTTAAATTAATGGAGTAATGGATAAGCGTTAATATTTGTATGCTGACAAGTTAAATTATTCAAACTAAATGACAATAATTGCACTTTTGACTCATCTGTGGCATCACATCAAACATTCATATGATTTGCATGCCAGCGATTTTAATCAATTTATGTCTGCATATAATAATCAAGCAAACTGTTTTCTTTTTCCCTTGAGCAAATTTAAAGTGCAGGTGAGATTCTTTAAGCTCCACCTCCTAGGCGGACGTTTTCCACTGAATGAAGAGGAAGAATGTAACACCAAACATTCTTGAAGCATGGCAGTGTTGGTGAATTCTCGCTTACTTTACTGTAGGGCCTTAGTTGCAGAATGTATACTTCTTGCATTAACATTTTATTGATTGCTGAAGCATGTGGTCTAGCTCAGCAGATATTGACAGCTTATTCTATCCTTTTCCATTAGAAAAGAGGAAAAAGCTTTTCAATAGAGGAGCAAAATTGTGTATTACTTGGAAGACTTGAATACCATAAAAGTCCATTTCAGTGACTGAATGAACAAATCTTTAAATAACAAAAGAGCAAAACTAATCGTATGATCAGACCCTGTGACTAATCAAGAGTACTTCCCAGCAATTCCTAGAAGACGAACCAAGAGCTCAATTGGCTTCGAGATCATGACCATGTGATCAGACCCTGTGATCTCAACCACTTCATCCGGGGGATTTTTTTGTATCATCCATTCCTGAAAACCCTTCTCTTGCAGCTTATCTTCATCCGCTATAATAAACACACGACTAACAGATCCATAATTCCTTGTCGTCAACATTAGCTCTTTTGCCATGTCCTCTTCGCTGTACAGGAATAAAGGTCTCAGCAACATCGTAGCCAGTGCCAAATCCTACAACAAATGGGGGCACAATTGGTAATGAAGTTTATATGACGCTGTGAATAATCTGGAATAGATACAAACTATGAGTGCTTAATCCATATTTGAACTTTAATCCCAGAAACAGACAATCTAATTCTCCTTACCTCAATTGGGCTGCGTTGATATACTTTTGCTGATAAGTGCTTTGGTCCAAAGACAAAAGCAGTTGGAGGATTATTTGGTCCGTTGTCGTAAAGAAAATGGCTATCTAGTAGAGAATTCTGTCTCCTGAATGACTACAACAGCAGAGTGTAAAATTGATCAGAAAGGACATAGGACAAAGGACTAACCAGCTGTCAAATCTTCTGCCCTTATAAGTAGTATTGTCTTGCATACACCGACTTTCCATTTAGTTACTTTCAAGTACTTCAAAAGGCCAACCTGATGGAATGCAAAGCAACGTTCTATGGTCATTTTCTATCCTAAATAGTCTTTACAATAACAGGCTGGTACTCACTCAAGAGACTGCTGGGGTGGATGTTTATCGTTTAATCTGAGAGTCGTTTATGCTGTTTGTGGGGCTTCAGCCTTCAAGGATGAATATCCTAGGCAGGTGTTGGAACTTGGAAGGAACCCAAGAAACTATTTTTCTGTTTCATAAATTCAAGCATTCTGAGTGAATGAAGCTTTGCTTTCTTTGTGGCAGTAATTGACAATAACATTTTAACCGTCAAATTTGACAACAAAACAACGTCATTGTTGAGTGTCTGATGCCAACCGTACTGGTTTGCATGCTCCTTAACTTGTTGATTCACATTCTATCGCAGGCTGGAAAGAAAAGAGGTAAAAATGACAGACTAACACCCCTTGTGGTTTGAAAAATTTGGCACGAACACCCAATCTAGTTCTGAAAATATCATCTTACTATTATTATTTTCTTTGGTTCCACAATCAGTCTTCGCAAATCACTCAATGCCTGCAGGTAACTTTTACTCAAAATGAAACCTTACTAACAACCACCACCAAAAAAAAAAACAAAGGAATATCAGGTATGTGACCAATCTTGGTTAGCAAAGGCATACCTCTTGGTTAAGGATGGATATTTTGAGCTCTGGACCAGGCATCAAAGCAGTTATAAAAACAGCAACAGTAATTTTCTCGGGGAAAATTTCCATGGCCTGCGAAATTGCGAGTCCACCGAAGCTGTGGCCAACAAGGATCACCCTTTCATTTGAAGAAAGGGAAGCCATGAAATCCCTCAGTGGCTGAAAGTAATCAGATATATACTTGACATCGTAGACCTGCTTTGGATTGATTCCTGAAGCTGCCAAGTCAAGAGCTGTGACGTTATGACCTGCTGATCTTAGCAACGCTACTAGCTTGTACCAGGACCAGGCTCCATGACATGCCCCGTGAACTAGGATAAAATGCTTGCTCGGCTGAAGGCAAGGCGTTGCTGATGTTGTTGGTTTTGGCAATTGGAGAAGAAACACTGGAAGAAGAACTGACATGATCATGCTGAATTCTGACTTCCTTGCCTCCATGTCTCTCTCTTTTCTAGTTTTCTTTTATCAGACTATAACCGGAAGTACCGATCTACTAAATTTCTTATGACCAAACTGAATGGTAGGTTTTGACACCGAATTCTGTCTGCGGGGCCTGCAGTTTGTCAACTTTGGCCACATGTTCCACTTAAAATGAAAAGGAACCTTCGTAGAAATTAAAATATGAAGGCTTTTACTAACCCATTGTCTTGATTCTTGAAATATTTGTCTGTTAATAAGTTTCCAGCTTTACCAGCTTGACTTGATCTATCAAGTTATTTTCTTATTCTTAAGGATTCATGTCTTGAAATTGATCGTGCTTAAACGTGCGATTGACATTCTGAAATTGGATATTGACATTATTCGTGGTGTTAAGTTGAATCTGATTTTCGCCTCTGTGCAGTTTTGCACATTAGAAAGCGGATAACGGGAGCGTTCAGGTTTGAGCTCTGTTGTTGTTGCAGTAGCAGCTATTGTTGTTGTTCTCTTTTTGGTTTTTGTGGGAATGAGCTTTCTGCAGTTCTGTGACAATTGCCTATTCCACAGCATTAGTCAGCAACCATTTTAGGCTGGCATTTTCCCATTACTCATTTTTCCGGTTTCCAACACTAAAAGCTTTAATTAAATCCTATTAGCAAATATTTGAACCCCTTAATGTGTTGACGCGCAGCAGCCTTCAATTCACTAGTCAAATTTTAATCTTAAGAGAAAAGTAAGCGAATGCAAGAAATATAATACAAGTATCATTGGAAATAAAGTAGGATACTCAAGTGAGCTGTGATCCTTTATTTCAGCACTTCTAATTTTATTCTTCACTCATTTACAGATACAGAATAAGTAGCCTTCCCGGGCAAGGTGAAAAGCTGAAAGCATATTACATGTTTTAACACGAGCAAGCACCAATACAGCAGCTTCTTAGTTATCAATCTTGAAATGATATATTTGCAGATTTTCAACATTAAGTTTCTTGAAATTACTGCGCTTCCTGGTTGTGAAGAACTTTCCCCAGTTATAGGGCTTATACTTGAGAGGATTCTGCTCATTGATGAGTTCCTCCGAGGGTTGAACCCAGGTATGGTGTGCTGGATTGAAGAAGAATGGAATGGAAAACCTTTCCTTCTCAGAATTCACACTCACCCTGTGTTCTACACTCTCATATTTCTCATTGCTCCACACCTGCACACAATCCGACAAAATTGTTAGCTGAATTATTACATCGGGCTTCGATTTCAATGCTTATTTGCTCTTTGATGATACCTGGATAATGTCACCAACATTGATGATATAAGCATTAGGAGTTGGTTTCACAAGAATCCACTCTCCATCGGTTTTGCTCTTCACTTCAAGTCCTCCAACATCATCTTGAGCAAGAATGGTCAAGGCCCCAGCATCCTTATGTCGACCAACCCCGAGAGCCAAATGAGGGCTAGGACAAGGTGGGTAGTGATTGAGCCTGATAAAGGTCGTTTCGTCCTCAAAGAAGCCATTGAACCTGTTCTTGGGCAACCCCAAACTGAGAGCTATTAGCTCCAATAACTTGAAAGCCAGTTTTTCCACTTCATGAGCATACTCTTCGCAAACTTCCCTGGAAGAAATGCAACTTAATTATTCAATCACACAAAAAACCAGAGTATGATGTAGTCTAGGTTAAGGGTCCTCATAAAGAGGCAAATCATATGCTTGTTTTGACTCATAACCAACAAGGTTAAGGGGGTTTTGTTCCTGCCTTAAAACAGAGGGTCCTACTTTCATGGCTTTTCTCCTATAAGGCAAAAAAATACTGGTTGATGTATATAATATATAATTTCTAAAGTTATCTGGTTGATGTATATATAGTTTCTAAAGGTCGGACGCAAAAAACAGATATTACCTCAACTCCGGAGGATTTGGAGGCCATTGATTAGTCAATTCCCTGACTTCTTGATCATCGGGTTCATGAGAAGCTGGAATAAATGTAGGATTCTTCACAGAGAAATCAAACACTTCTTTCCAGTCTCTAACATTTTTTGTATGCTCGGTATCATAGTATCCGTAAGGATTCGCTTCGTCCCTCCCCACCTTTAACTTCTCCTCTTTGGGTAAAGCAAAGAATTTTCTCGATGCCAGTTCCATCTTTTCTCGGCATTCCAATGGAACCCCATGATTGATAACTTGGAAAAAACCCCATTTTTGGGATGCATCACCTATCTCAGAGACCAGGCGTGCCAAATCAGCATCAGAATGGGGAGAGTTTAACGCAGAGAGATCAATGAGCGGGATGCCTTCAGCTTCAATTCTTGTGGGTTTAGGCCTGTGTTCAATGTCTTGAACAAAAGCTGGGTCTACTGCTGCCTCTCCCATGGCTTGGATACTGTTCTGCTAAAAGTCTAAGAACTAACAGCACTACTACAGCAGTGGCAGAGACAACTCGGGTCAGATTGATAACTCCCACGACTCTGCTGAATGGCCTTATATGCTGCAGCTGTAGCAGATGATTTGAGATTCACCGAACCTAGACACTTGTGATGTATATGGTAAAACGTGTTTGGGTTTCATTTTGCAAGCATGGAACCATGGATGGAGTTGGCTAATTAGAAACCTTACAAACATCGTCCAAAGACCTGTAATTGGAGCCTTTCGTCACGGATTACATATTTTCGACTGAAACTAAACTGACCTTACCGGTTACTGGCATCAGGATGGTTTTTCAGCAAAATGTGTAACTTAATGATTGATCGACATGTTTTCTTGACATTTTTCCTTACTAGTAATACTTGAAGTACTCTGCGTGTGATTATATTAATTCAAATATAATATCTCTTAGATATATATATATTTTTTTTGTAAAATTTGATTGTTTACATGATAATAGAATATTTTATATTTTCAATTTCTTTAACTAATTGTTGTTACAAAGACTATCTAAATATGAACTCTTTGATCTGTTGATTTTTGAATTTATGTTGTGCTTTTTGATAAATTATGGATTAGTTTTAATAAACAGCTCTTAATACGATTGTGTTTCACCAAAGATGTTGTACTCACAATATTTTACCATTAAATCATAATGTTATTTTTTTACTATTGTACAAAGGGTGTTGTTAAATAAGGGACACATGTACACATGTCAAGTGTGAGAATGTTATTTTTTCCTTGCTAAGACAAACAAAATGCAATTGTACAATTAGAATGTACTAATTATTTAAGAATAAAATACATGAATCGTGCTATTATCCAACTTCACATGAACATTTGATTATGCTACTTTATATTTTTGTACTTGGCCTTTTCTCTTTTTTTTTTTTTTTTGCGAATTTGAATTGAATAATGTAAGGTGCATTGTTAAATTTGGATTATTTATATTTTTTTTCCAAGTGTTATTAATGTAAGTAAGGAAGGTAAATGATTTATAGTACTTAATTATTTTCGATTGGCTATTTAGTTGTCAATTGATATTCAATTGGTAGAATTAGTGGGATTCTTATATTTTTGCTTTTCTTTTAGTATTTCTTCATAATGATAAAAAAAAAACATATAATTATACATCTATCTCGTGATATTTATATCAAGATTCTCCAAATGAATATGAACTCTTTTCTTCTCATATATTTCTCTTTTATTCTTAGAGCATATATTTTTTATACTATTATTTTTTTTTACAATCTTAAAATTATGGCTAACACAATTGGTCACACTATTTCAAGTAAGAAATTGTTTCGGATAAGAAATTTTGATGCCCACAAGAATTGGAGATGAAGTGTAAGGATCACTAAATAGTTTTAATGGGGAGTTTTGCATTTTAATTACAATTATTATTGAGATTTAATCATTTAAAATGTTCACATTTTTAATTACTACCGCAATGAAAATACAATAACTCTAATTAAAAGATGGAGGTAAAATAGGCACAACAAAAACTAAGATAAAACAGTACTTACAACTAACAATGCCAAAACTTCTCATAATTTTAATATAGTAATACTGATAGATATATAATAGATAATAGATTGTTATTCTAGAAAGGTGATTGATTTTCTAGCCAAATTTTTGCTGATTACTTTGTCCAAAGAGATTGCTTAGGGCCACACACATTATTCACCAACAACTTAGGCCTTCTTCTTCATTATTTAGACAAGTGATTATAGAAAATAATTAAAATGAGCAAAAGTTACTACTTTTTAGTTAATTATAGACTTTAACATTTTCTATTATTTAAAAATCTATAATTTAAACACAGAAGCAAATGAGAACATTATAAAAACTATTTATCTAAAATTAAAATTTATAATTAGCTAAAACGATCAATCCAGAACAAGCCCTAATCGAATAAGTTACCGTTTTGATGTTTAAAAAAAAAAAAAAAAAAAAAAAAAGAACAAGCCCTAATCGAATAAGTTTGTACACCAATTATAAAGGATCATATGAACAGTAACGTTGGAGGTACTGTACGTTGGCCATTTTTGACCAGAAAACAGACTGTGGGAGTTGGAAGTACGTTCGTCAGTTTGTTTGTAGTACAAAATTCTTCTGCTTCGATTCACGGTACGAGGAAACTCAAGTTTTACTCATCTGCCACCGGACGTTCAAATATCAACATGAAAGGAAACCAATGAAGTCAAAATAGCATCTATCCCCCTTCTTCTTTTTTTCTACTTCTTAAATCTCACTTCGTTTTGGTTAGAATTAAAAAAGAGTAAATTATTTCGATGATCACTAAGTTTTTGAAATCATCAAAACTTAATTTTGACTACTGAACTATCTAAAATTTTGATTTCAAGTCATTCCGTCAAATTTAATTATTAACTATATCAGATTTAAGCACTAACACGATTCATGAGATAAAAGAAGAAAATTGTATAGTTAATGATTAAATCTAATAATATGGCTTAAAATCTAAAATTTCAACGGTTAAAAACAAATTTCTAATAATTCAGTAGTCAAAATTCAACGATTCTAAAAGTTTAGTGAACATCCGGTTAATTTGCTCATTGAAAACAAAAAAATGCAAGCTCTCGGCAGTGCCTTATTCAGGTATATACATTCTTTGTGAAAACCTAACCAAATATGAGCACGCCACCATTTATAATCATCATAATACAAATCTGTGGAAATTGCAAGAAGAGAATGGAGAATCAAGACCAAGTCCCCGCAATAAAACAATATCGGTCACCGATGATGCAATGATTTAGACAAAGCAATTGTCTAAAGGTGATGGCTTCATTTCATCAATCCATGCAACATCTATTTCTTCCCTCAGAAAAATAGCGGGAAGCCGGAAACATAGACTTCCATGGAGAAGAGAAAAAAAATTACATGTAAAACATACATCATCTGATTCAGAAATCATAAACTTTCAGAGGGAGGACCAAATCTAACAATTGCTGAACCAAATCCTGTGAAACTATTTACAGTAATTTTCAAGGACAACGGAGAGAACATATTTCCCAAGAGTGTCCCCAAGAGTACTTTATGCGGTAGGAATTGAAGTCGAGAGAACGAGATAGGATAAGTACTGGAGCCCATCCTGAACTTTACCCAAGGCTGTGCTATAATTAGCGCGAAGGTTCTCAGAAAACAAATTAGCCTTTTCCTGAATTAAATTCTTTGGGTGAAGTTCAGGCTGTTCAGGTGAATCAGAACCAGCTCCTTTTATCGCCGCCAGATAGACCTCAGCCACATCTGACATGCCTGCACAGCAAGTTGAATTGAAACAGAAACATCAAGTATCAGACTCAGTCAACACACTTGGAAAACCATTTGCAAAAAACGAGGAGAATGTATTTTTTTTAAAAAACCTAAAAAGATAACAAATCAAACCAACCTGTAATAAAGCAGTCTGAAATAGCTTCCACATTTCCAGTCATAGATTGTGCCTTAAACCGTATGATTTTAGCTTTATCAACAAAATCCTCAGGCCAGTTGATTCTCACCATTTCCTCATCAATATCTGTGTCTTCTACTTTGTTTGCATTAGAAATAATTGCCTTCCCAAGCATCTGAAGTTGGGTTACAGCAAAGCAGCACATTTCTGATAGTCTCTGTGCAAACAAAGAAATAATCGTCAGCATCAACTGCAGATAACAACTTACTGTATTATTTGTGAAAAATTGTGATCACAATATTATTCTGCATACATGAACGCCTTCCGAATGAAGAGAATCCAGTCTTCCAGCAGTCCTCTGAACTATATCATTTGGAGGTAGCCCAGCTAAAGCATTTGCAAAACTGCAGCACATTTCAGCAAAAAGCATTTAAGATATTTTTGGCCTATATTATGGGCAGCAAGCTTTTGAGCAAGATATTCAGGATGAAAAGAAGATAATTTGTCATAAAAATCATCTCTATTTGCACAAGAGGGTACACTGTTAGTTCAGCAAAAATTTTGAATTACAAGCCCAAACATACAATGAATCAAGTCATACTTCAACATTACAAAAACATTAAAGACAAACTGCCACATAAGATCTGAATAATTTATAGTTTCTAGGTAAACGCAAGATCAAAAGGCAAAATGAAAATTTGAGTATTTTGTTGCAGGAACTAATGCTTTATAGTCATGGATGATCAGTTTCATTGGTCTTTTAAGAACCTAAAATGCAGCAACACAATTTTTGAGTTACTGACAGGTACGTAATTTATTATGTGAAGTATATACAAAAGCACTCAATAGAATAGTACCCAGCTGCTAATTCAGCAGCCTTGCTGACACTAGAATCATGGAGGATCTTTATCTCATCTGTACTGCTCTCAATTCCAGCATCTATCTTCTTTCCTTTTTCAGACTCAACATCACTTCCATCAATTTCAGAACTCAAGTCAAAAATCTGCTGGACCAGTTTAAGCTTTCCATCATAAACAGACTTCTGTTCAGATGACAGCTTAGCTTTTCTTCGATTAAACAATAGCGCATAATGGTTGGACAATGCCTCCAACTCCTGAGACACCACAAACGATAAAAGTCATAGAGATTTCTTAAATTGAAAGCAGAAATAAAGACGAGTCCTTCAAGAACAGCTGTAACCTCCAATTGCTCTGGACCTCCATAAATATAGAAGCATCGATCAAAAGTAACTTCCTCAAATAACTGATCTTCTTCTGTTTTCCCTCCAGCTTTAAAATTTTTCCCAACTTCCATACCAGTTTCTGCAATCAGAAGATCCATAGTCTCTTTGCCAACAAATTCAAGAACCTGTATTCCCTTTGCAGTAAGTGCTTTCCCACTCTGCAAGAAAAATCACAATTAGAAAGGAATCAAAAATCAAGAAAAGAAACTAAACTATGTACAGACCTCTAGTAATGATGGTGCAACTGAGCCATTTGCTCCAGGTAAACCACCATGATGAATGGATTCAGCAAAGTTGGTAGCAGAATTCTCAAGTCTGAAAAGGATAAAAGGTTAATACTTTGAATAGACAATTAGATTAGTGAGATTCATGCCCTAGAACAAAATATAAAATCATTCTTACTCTACATCTTGATAAAATAGAGGCATGATGGGAATTAACTAGTAGGCTGCCCTAGGTAAAAAATGAGACTTCTGTTAAACTAGAAAAAAAAGGCTAAATGGTACATTTAAAGAATTAGAACACTCAAAATGCTCACTGAACATTTTAAGAAAAAAAAATACATATAACATCAAATGCCCAATATTCTCCTACAGGTAGATCAAGGAAGCACAAGATGCCTTGGTGGCTGGCCCTTAAACCCCACAACCAAAAATGTTTATCCCTGCAGACTATATTAATATTATCAGAAGCAAGATTTAGCAGATATGAACATACTGTTTAACTAAGGTTGAGCTCCCTTTCCATTTCTTATAATGAGATACATTCTACTAATATATAATATCCATAACTGCAAAAATATAAAAAAAAAGTACATAAAAATATAGTCCTTATTTATTTATTTTCATTTTTAACTTCTATACATTGCATTAGGGCAAAATCCCATATTTAGTGTCTGTTTGATAACATAAAAAAGTGCTGAAACTGAATTCATTCAGACATTCAGATGTTTTGGGTGTTTGATAAATAAAAATTTTTCTGCTGAACTTATTAAGTGGTGCTGAATTTGTATGTATTTTTTTCAGCACAAGAATCGTAACTGAATGCTTAATTTGATAAGAATCAAGAGATTTTACTTCAATTACTTTATTTTATCTACCAAATCTATCATTGTTTGTTAATTACATTCAAAATCCTTATCTAATTAAACAACCTAATATTTTCTATCCAAAATCCTTATCTAATTAAACAACATGCCATTCTCTGTCTAATGGCTTTCTACTTCTATTTTTTCCCTATTTAATGACTTTTTTACAATTTCTCCATGCTCCTCACATCTGTCTACTCCTTATTTTTTTTTCCATCTTTCTACTCTTTCATAATTTTGTCATTTTTTTCCTCCAATTTTTTTTATTGCTACCGTACTCACTGATCTCAAATTCATTATTTCCAAGGTAAGTGACATTGATTATTTGTTGTTTTGCTTCAACATTTTTCCATTGAAGTAATTAAATTTCTAAATAATTTGGTATGAATTTAAAACTTGTTTATTGCAGCTTCCTTTTACTTATATTTGGACTTTTCTTATCAAACTCTGATTTAAAAAAATATTTGCACCGATATTTGGACTTTTTCATAATATATTTATTCTTTTATATTACTTTGATTTAAAAATAAATATTGTCATTTTCATATCTAACAATTTTAAGCTAATTAAATCATAGGTTCCATTTCCTTTTTGGATTAAAAGATAGAAGGGCAAAATTGTACAATTTAGCTTATTAAGCATTAAGTTATAAATGTTTATCAAACAGTATAAATATGTTCAGCATTAAGATTCAGATATTCATATATCTTTTTTCAGTGCTTAATATTCAGCAAATTAATTGTTTCAGTATTCAGAATTCAGAATTCAGAATTCAGATTCAGTTTTATCAAACGGAGTCCATCAACTTTTTTCAGTAAAATAAATTTAGCCAATTAGTCCCTAAGTTTTTATTTTTGGCTAAAATTTTCTTTTCTTCTTTTTTTAAATCCAGCAAAATAAAAAATTTTTTTGGGTGCTCAACTTTTGAAACCAACCACGTTAACATTCCCAGTGTTTATAACGATTATAATATAATAATAATGAAATGGTTTGGCAACGTACGCTGTCGTCTTGCACTCGTGGAAGGCGGCTCAAGGAGCCCTAACTTTAATAGACGCCACCTCCGCCAGCCGGGCAACCCCCTGACCGAGGCTGCCCAAAACCCTAACTCTGTTCAAAGAAGCAGCTATAGTCCAGGACTTGAAAACAGCGAGAGATCAGATGTCGTACGACGACGTAGAGATTGAGGACATGGAATGGAACGAGGAGCTCCAGGCCTTCACGTATCCCTGCCCCTGCGGAGACCTCTTCCAGATCACCAGGGAAGAACTCCGTCTGGGCGAAGAGATCGCTCGGTGCCCTAGCTGTTCTCTTTACATCACCGTCATCTATAATACGGAAGATTTCGCCGATTCCAATCGCAAGAATAAGAATATCGAACCTCCCAAGCGACAGCCGGTTGCCGTCGCTTGAAAATCTCCCGGAGAGGGAATTTTGATTCCTTTTCTTTTTTTTCCCTAAGATTTTTGTCATTTTCCTATTGGCCTATATATATGTATTGTAGCTTGATGGAGAGAATTGGTTTTATTGTCTGTTGAGTGTATTTTTATGGATATCAATTGAAATAGAATTATTTTCGAGTTTGTGATTTTGGAAGTTTAGCATGTTCAATATTGTGATCAAGCCCTATGATTCTCAATCTGCTGTACCTTTTTTAACAGGTTTCTTTCTACCCCTTTTTTCGAGCAATCTACTGCATTCTAAAATGCTTGATATGATCTCTACCTGATTTCGAATGAGGAAGACCAATTCTGATTCTTGAATCAGGGTACAGATGCATTAACTAAGAAGAAGAAACCGAATCGATAATCATAGTCACAGGTGGGAACTGGGAATAAAACTACCATAGCATCATCCAACGAAAGAGGAGAGCAAATTTTTTGAGGCTGTAACATGCAATCAATTCCATCTATTCAAATTCAGATTGAACCCATTTTTTGAGGTGGGAACTGGGAATGAAACCACCATAATTGAACGAGTTTAAATGGTCCATGAAGGAGTCCAAAACTGACCTCTTGGACCCAACACCCACCCCACTCCTGGACCCAACACCTAGCCAACTGAACTGACCATCAAAGGGACATTCGAACCGGACGGCTGCTTCATCATTTTTATCTCCCTATCTAGCCGAGAACAAACGGTAACGGAGAAAAAAGAATTGCTCGAAGGTTCTCTCCTCTTCTTCTCTCTTGTCTTTATTTTTTTGGGTCAAAATCCTCCTCTTCTTCTATCTATCTATGTGATGAGGAAGTAGGAGAGACAAATCTGAAATCACTTTAGGTTTTGAATCTAAACATTTTGAGATTTTTCTTTCATTAAATTTTTTGTTCATGTTGTTTTCTCCTTATCTGAACTTGACCTATTTTTTTGTGATTGCAGACTGTTTCCGAGTCCAAGAAGATGATTCTGGTTAGTCTCATGTCTTCCATTGTCTCTATTTTCCCTGCTTTTGGTCTCTTTGCTTCCCGCTACAATTGTCAGAATTATTTTGGTGTTCCTTTTTGCTCAGTGTACACGGTCCAAGTAATGAACTTCACTGCAAATCCTCAGAAGTTGCTGCCAGGTTTTGAGTTTCTTTTAGTCTTTAATTTGCTAATCAATGGATAAATTTGTGTTCCTTGGATTTTGAACAACAAAAAAGTTTGCTCTGATATCAGACTTTGCTAATATGTCATTTTTGGACAAAATTTTTTTGTTCCTGTGATGCTTTAATTTGCGCCAAAGATACAATAAGTTTTGTGCAAATAATTATAGAAACATGGAGAAAGATGAAGATTTATTGGGATTTTTCGAAAAAAACAGTGTAAAAACCACGCGCTCTACCAGGGGTTTTACATTGACAAGGTGCTTTTTAATTAGCACTACTAATTAGTTAATCTATTCATGGGCGAACTAGCAATGCATTTTACTATGAAAACGCCTCACTGCCAAGCTTAAAGTTTTAGTTATTCCACATATATATATAGTTTTCGTGCCCTATGCATCATTGTTAAAGAGCGCCAATGATTGTGAGATTCTGATGTGCTTCTTGGAGCTATTGACTCGTATGATAGGATGGATATGCCGCCTCTGACCTATGTCTTCACAGTTGTGGGATATACGCAAATCCACTTGATTGATCTTATTCTTGGAGGGACAAACAAAATTCCTTCTTTAGTTCTCTAGCTGAAATAATAGTAGCAGTTGTAGTTATAAGTGTGGAGTGATATTAACTACTTGCACTATTGCTTCTGTATTTGTAGAGGTTCTGAATAGCAGCTAATCAAGTACTCAGTTTTCAGGCTCATCTTCCATCTGTCTAGCTGCAAAATGGTTCCTTTGCTTTGAATATCTTGGTATGTCTTTGGGCATTTTTAATTTTTTCCTGCTTTCATTGGCTTTATTTCATAATGATGTAGAACTTTTCTAGCATCAAACATGCATTGAATTGTGAGGTTGCTTGAACAAAAGACAAAAATGTTGATGTTTGTTGGTGGCTATCAAAAGTTTATGCCTCCATTCATATCTAAGGAAATGCATGGCCTCAACTTTAACTGATAGATATTCTTCAAAAGAAAGACCTTTACATTTGATCTTGACAATGAGCAACTGCCAAAGGGGATAAGTAAGAATGTTATGTTGATGATATTACTGTTTGAAATATTTTAGAGGATCAATTATTTTTTAAGAGCAATTACTAGCTCCTGGTACTCTATGGTTCTTGGCATGCTTCTTTGTTGTTCTATGATTTTTATCTATATTTGGGAGGTTTGAGTGGGATTTGTGACACTAATTAAGTTTTTTCAACAATTTTCTCTCTACACTAACAAAATGGCACCTTAGTATTTTTGTATGGCTTCACTTTTGTTTTCAGCTTTCCTTACTATGGAAGATTCATTTTGCTATTAACCTCTCAAAAGATATAAAAAATGCATAGGATGTTTAATGACATGCCCTTTTTTTAATAAAGAAACTTTCCTTACTTTTTGCATGTTCAATTAAACTACTCGACACTTCATAAGACAGCAGTATTTTTCAAACTTATTGTAGCTCTTAATATTTGCGTTCATGTCTCGTGCATCAGATTTGTAGGCTATACATTTGGTTGAAGTGCTTTGATTATCCCAAAAGTCTCAACAGGAATAAAGAGATCGACTTAAAGGTGAAATTTCATATGCAAGGAAATTATCTGGCCTCTAAGGTAGTTCACAATTTTTAAATCATTATGAATCTTTTGTGGCCTCTCTTAAGGTTTGTATGTTAGTTGTTAAGATGATAACATAAAGTTTCCTATTTAAAACCTAATTTAAATTTAAGGTTGCAAAAACAAAGAATTTCAAATGATTACTCCTTGGCTCCTCCGTCTTCCCAACTGGACAACTATTAATGTGAAATTTAAATAATTCAAAAATTTTTTGGTCTAATCAGATTTGTCCCAAACCAGGCAGAATATAAAATTTTGCTTGCATGTGTGCTGGATCCTGCATCAAAAAATTTCCTGAGCTAAAGAGATGTCAAGTGTGCTTAATAATAGTGTTGAGACTTCTCTTCTTTTGTGGAGTATCAAAGTTGTATGCTGTAGTTTTGTAAATTCAAAGATTGGACTAGCTGGATACATTTGTTCTGATATTTAGAAACCTGTTGTGTGTGCCAGTGGAGATGATCACCGACCTCCATTCTAAATGGTCATCCCGGTGAACATCTTTATCATATATTACTGATTGGTAATCCAATATGGTACTAGGAGTTAATTTCTATGTACTATTAGGAGCCTTACATTGGTTGAACATTAAATAATGGTTGTGCGGATTGGAAAAACAATGTGTATTTCCTATTGTATCAAATAGGATCGCAGACTACATAAAATCTATTGATTTAAGTGTCTTGCACTTTTTTTCCTCCTCTGCTTTGGGAGTTATTTGGTATTCTAAAATTCAGATAATCCTTTTAAGACCCTGATTTGCTCAATTCGTGGAAGGCGGCTCAAGGAGCCCTAACTTTAATAGACGCCACCTCCACCAGCCGGGCAACAACCTGAGTGAGGCTGCGCAAAACCCTAACTCTGTTCAGAGAAGCAGCTATAGTCCAGAAATGTTTTCAAAACCGGACCGGACCGGCCGGTTCGACTGGTCGAACCATGAACCGGCCATGTGTCCGGTCCGGTTCATAGCTTGTATTGATTTTGTCCTAGAACCGGTCAAAACCATAAAAAACCGTTCAAACCGTTAAATTCGGATTGAACCGTGAACCGCAGTTTTTAAATTTTTCACAATATTGACTGAATTTTGACCGAAATTAAGAATTAAACCTAGTCTTCTCTCAAGTCTTCAGTCTTCAATCTTCACAATTTTCTCATCCGCCGCATTTGCTCCATAGCGCCGGGCTCCTTCCAAATCCCCCAACTTCACAGCCGATTCGAAGGTGTTGCTGGAGATTTTTGTTGCTCCTAGTCTTCTCTCAAGTCTTCAGTCTTCAATCTTCACAATTTTCTCATCCGCTGCATTTGCTCCATAGCGCCCGGCTCCTTCCAAATCCCCCAACTTCACAGCCGATTCGAAGGTGTTGCTGGAGATTTTTGTCGGTTGCGTGGGCAGCTTCATTTGCGGCAGGGGCCGCAACGGCGGCAGTTTCATTGTGGAGAGGCGGGGCGGAAGGGAGGGAAGTCTTCACTCCATTCTTCACAAAAGATCTGGTTTGTCCTCAAATTAGATAAGTCTGTTTGTCCTGCAAATTTTTTTTTTTACTCGTTAGTTGGCTCTGTTGCCTGGCTTGAAGATTGTAGCAATTATAATGCTTAGCTGGAACATAAAATTGAAGAAGAAAGAAAACATTTCTGATTCCTCCTTGCTTCCAGTTTGCAACCGAGAGAGTGAGGGAGAGAATTAAAAATTTGCTAGCTTTATTTCTCTCGCTTGTAACCTGGAAACTGTGAGCCAAAAGTGAGGAAAAAATGAGTGACTGGTGCGGCTTAGGAAGAACTGAAGCAGGAACTAAAAGTGCAGGCTGCAACTTTCAAATTCTAGGAGGAAAAGGGAAGGTAAAATTCTGTAATAACCTCTTACGCGTCTAATATACATGATACTTAAGCTGCCTATGAATTTAGCTAGGAAAATGGACCCTTGGCTGAGGGAAAAAAAATCTGTGCAGCAACTGAAAGTTTACTAGGAAGAAAATTGCACAAAAAGAATGTGTGTTCAGATACAGTTCTGTGTTTCATGTATTTCCTTTAATTTTGATGGGGAATAGCATTTGTGAGACAACTTCAGAATGGCGAACTAGCTGTAGAATCAGGCAAGAGATAATTTAAACACCTTAGTTTAATTGGATTTCTCTAAATGGCTGGGCTGTCTCTAGTACAGCAACTGCGGAAATGTTGGTTAGCATGTTCAGCATGCCGACAAACAAGTTAAATGACTTGTTTATGCATTTGTACTTGGTGGCTGAAGTCCACTTATCAGAATATAATCATTTTCTGGTTGTTGGAATTTTCCTGAATCATTTGAAAGGAAGAAAATGCTATTTGATACCTACTTAGTGCACCATTCTTGGATAGCTACATCACTCAACAGAAGGTTTATCCAGTGTGGATAGGACATTTTGCTTCTTAAAGTTATACATAGCCTATAGAAATTATTTTAAGTAAACGAAGGCAAGATGCAACTTTGGATAAGTTAAAGTTATGAAATGGAGTTTTCTATTATGTGAGGTCAGTCCAAAATATTGACACATCAAAACTAAGGAAGACCTCCGATCAAAGTTGTTAATTATGGAGTTTTCTTATGTTAATTGTGGTTTAGCATTTATATCTTATTCTGTGCACAGGTATGTGTGTGTCTATATATATATATATATTATTTATTGAACCGGAGTTGAATCGGTCCGACCGGTTGAACTTCGACCCTTTCACTTCACCGGTTCAATTAACGGTCCGAGTTTTAAAACATTGCGGCAGAACTTGAAATCAGCGAGAGATCAGATGTCGTACGACGACGTAGAGATTGAGGACATGGAATGGAACGAGAAGCTCCAGGCCTTCACGTATCCCTGCCCCTGCGGAGACCTCTTCCAGATCACCAAGAAAGAACTCCGTTTGGGCGAAGAAATCGCTCGGTGCCCTAGCTGTTCTCTTTACATCACTGTCATCTATAATACGGAAGATTTCGCCGATTCCAATCGCAAGAATAAGAATATCGAACCTCCCAAGCGACAGCCGGTTGCCGTCACTTGAAAATCTCCCGGAGAGCGAAATTTGATTCCTTTTCTTTTTTTCCCTAAGATTTTTGTCATTTTCCTATTGGCTCAATTGTCGTTAAGGTATATTTGTTGGGCGGCAATGATAATTTCGTTAGAGTTGTATTTTTTTTTCCCGTGAAATGGAGGAAATAGGGAGGCCATATATGTAGCTTGATGGTGAGAATTGGTTTTATTGTTTGTTGAGTGTATTTATACGGATATCAGTTGAAATAGAATTATTTTCGAGTTTGTGATTTTGGAAGTTTAGCATGTTCAATATTGTGATCAAGCCCTGTGATTCTCAATCCGCTGCACCTTCTTTTAACAGGTTTCTTTCTACCCTTTTTTTCGAGCAATCTACTGCATTCTAAAATGCTTGATATGATCTCTACCTGATTTGGCATGAGGAAGGCCAATTCCGATTCTTGAATCAGGATACAGATGCATTAACCAAGAAGAAGAAACCGAATCGATGATCATAGTCACAGGTGGGAACTGGGAATAAAACCACCACAACATCATCCATCCAAAGAGGAGCAAATTTTTTGAGGTTGTAACATGCAATCAATTCCATCTCTTCAAATTCAGATTGAACCCATTTGAATCCTAAACTGTACAAATTACAATGCAATTGCCCTAACAATTTTATAGATACCCAGTCCTAAACGGATTCGGGCTTCATGATACATTGATATACTAGAAAAAATAAATCTTCGGATTGCTGACCTCCTTATTAGTTGAGAACTTGTTTGCCTAGTTCGAGGCATTGTTTTGCGAAGAGGAGATGTGGTGTTAAGGTTCATTCCTACTTGCTATTGTTTTTGGTTTGTTTTCAATCAGTTTTCTGATTCGGAAGGTCATACAAATAAGATTCCTACTTTTGAACTTCCCTTTACCCTAGATATTTTGAGTGACATTCATAGCCAGATTGAATAATTTCTGAAAACAGGCTTCTGCTATTTTGTGTTATTTGGAGAAATCATCACTGAACTTTGATAATAAGTAGTTACTGTGCTTGTTAATTCAGAGATGACAGAAATGGTCTTCTAAGTCCTCAAAAGCCCACACTTTTCTTGGCCCCTATCAAAGCTAACGCTTTTACCATTCAAAGAAATCTCATCCGATCCTTTTTTCAGCCAACCATTGGCTGACCATCTTATCCACTTCATTTCATTTCTCTCCGTAGAAAGTCTCACTTGCTCACTCATTCTTTATCTCTGCATTTTAGCAAACTTAGAGCTCTGCACCGATCATTTCGAACAAGGTAACTTGATCACCCTATCAAGTCCAAAAGAAACACGTATCTGTATTTTAAGGTAGTCAGGTACCCCTTTTGCATAATTGTTGCATCTTTCTCATTCCATAGGTTGTTGGTCAGGAAGCAATGGCGATAGCCACAGCTACACTATCTCCGGCCACGATTAAGGCTGCAGCTATTCCTGGCTCAGGAAGAACCTCCCTAAGGAGGACCAAAGTCACCTATATTAGTGGGTTGAACTCATTTGGTGGCCTTAAGGCTCACAACAATGTTGTCTCATTAGGCCTTCCTGTTAGCACTGAACAATCCTTTGCCAAGATTGTTGGCTCATTGAGTTGTCCTTCACAGAGCAAAGGCAGAGGTGGCGGAGCTCTCTCTTCAACCTGCAATGCTGCTGATGAGATATTTAGGATTGCTGCTATCATTCAAGTCCTAGTTCTTATTGGAGTAGCTGTGGGATTTGTTCTTCTTCGAATCGAAACCTCCGTTGAAGAGTCCGAATAAGAAATTACAAAATTTAGTTGGTTAAAGAAGATGTTTTTCATCAAGGTTTCTGTTCTTTTTTGCCTAATTCTATTCTGGATGTAGAATTGAGTTAATTTGGACAAGTGAACCAAATTTGTACAATTCGTTTCTGTTGGAAACTTCTTGAGACACTGCGTTGATCAACATTTATCCTTTCTATTGCCAAAAGCTAGACATTCATCATCTCAGTCATCCATTTATTTGTGGCTCCCTATTCTGGTTTAACGCTTGACACCAAGTTTACTCGTGAAACTCTTCAAGCTCAGACCTGCCAACTTATGACACAAAAAACAATTATTTATTTATTTATTTTCCTCAACTGCTTGTGAACCTTCTTATTTGGATTGTGATTTTTTATAGAAAATTTTTTTACGTTTTCTTTGAACACATTTTCCAATCACCTTCTTACCTCGCACATTAACTGATGGATGAAATTTTGGCAACCAACTGAAGGATTTTATGCTGCTTTTCCTGGGAACAATGCAGGCTTCTACATCTTGGATACTATTTATCAAGAATTATCTTGCTTCGTACAACAGATACTAAACTGCAAAACTACAAGCTAAAGAAATTAATAGACATCTTGCCCAGAGCAGAACATTTTGCGATGGAGCTAGCATATTGGCTCTGTTATTTCCGTTTCCTTTGTATCCCGGTTAGATAAAGTGTACACATGATTGAGCTACCTTGTGCCTGTAGTTGGATAAAGACACATTAAACCTTGTTATGTTGCTCAATGATTTATTGGCATGAAAAACCTCATCGTGAGTTCTCACGAATTCCTCTGTAAGGTATCATCCATTTTGCATTCCAAAAGATTGATACTTTGGGCCTTATAGGACTAACAAGAGGCAGCTGTTGGTATGCTTCTTCCTCCACAATTAGAGGCAGCCATAAATATCTTGAATCGCGCAAGTCATCTGGCTTCCAACGATCAGCCATAAAAACAAATGACCCCGGAGGTCCCCCTGGCATGGGAAGTACAAATGTACTCTGAGCAAAGAATGTGTTGACCCGAAAAACTTTGTTTGCTCCAAAGCAAGGGTTTCCAATGGCCTCCCATGGCCCCATAATTGATTCAGCCACATGAACCAGTGCCTCATTGGGTGCCCAGCCACTACAGCCTGATGTGATCATGTAGTAGTTGCTTTGGTGTTTAAACACAGCATGCGCTTCTCTGTGCTGTCCGACTAAAACCTTGGTCATAGAATTTGTAACATCAAGATAATCTTTACTGAGGGGACCAATATGAGTTTGTCTATTGTGCAGAGAAGAGTAAAACAGGTATGCTATACCATCTCCATCTTTGAAAATTGTCATGTCCCTGCTATCGAATCCGTGAGGACTCTTGCTATAAAGATAAACAAATGGACCAGTTGGAGAACTGCTGATAGCAATTCCAACTGAGGCTTTAGTGTAGTTAGCATCATCAATGTGCATCCACATTACATATTTACGTGTCTTCTCATTGTAAATCACTTTAGGCCTCTCTAGAACTTTGGACTTGTGTAGATCA